CCAGCATGGCGACGTTTCATCGGAGAGCCAAAGGTACCAAAGCAAAGTGAATCAGCGCATCGGCAAGTCTGGGAGTAATACTGCGTAGAAACCTGGTAACACGGCGTCTAGCGGAGGCAGAGCGGAAGACGCTACGTTACCCAAGAATGTTGAAGGTCGCGCTTTGAACAAACCGAGCAACTCAGAACTTGTACGATAATGCCGAGGCGAAGAGTTGCGCAGACGCGCCAGCTTGCGTCGGACAATCAAACGTTGATGGCGTCGCGCACCAAAGTTTCGGAATGGAGTTGCGCGACTAGAATCTTGACGTTTCCACCCGATGGCCGGGATCGTACATCTATGCGTTGGCCTTTCTCGTTGCCATCAAATTTGACGCGACTGGCGCGCCCACGATTGTGGAGCAAGTTTTGGCAAGCCGCCGTCCGATCGAAAACCGCAGCGTTCCTTAGATCGGCAATGGTCTCCCAAAAGGCGCTGGTGCCACATGTGAATCTACTTTATTGGAGAGCAGCGGCCCGAGCAGCCAGAGGCACATCGTCACAGTATGGCCCTCGAAGAAGAAATAACTGCATGAAAATCAACTTTTGGCGCTCCGTACGGATTTCTTGGATTTGCGCTGCGCCCCCCCTGCCCCTGGCGCGCTCCGCGTGCCGGGGATCGCTATTTGAGGTGAATCGTTGATCGTTGTCTGAACGCGTCCTCCGCGGCCAGACAATACTCGCCAATTTTCGGGAGGCTACGAATGCGCCTTGGCGCGCCAAGTTGTCCATGGGTACCATCCCGGAGGCAAGGCCGAGCACAGTGGCCTGGTCAGTTCGTGGAGCTGGCCAGCTTGTCAGCGCTGCGCATAGCCGTGGGTGGCAACAACAAAAATATCAAAGTAATGAGAGGGAAAGAAGGAGAAGAAGGAGGAAGAGAAGGAAGAGAAGGAAGAGAAGGGAGAGGAGGAGGAGGAAGGGGAGGGTAAGGGATGAGGAGGAGGCGGAGGAGGAGGAGGAGGAAAACCAAAAGGAGGGGGAGGGGTCAAGGGTGGAGAGGAGGAGGAGGGACAGGAGGAGGGGGAGGAAGAGGAGGAGGGGGATGAGGGCGCGAGGAGGAGGAGGAGGGGGAGGAGGAGGAGGAGGAGGAGGAGGAAGCAGATAATTGGATGACGACGATCGACGTGGCCCAGAGGCTTCGGAATTTGAGCTGGGATTGTGGTGCATCCGGGCATTGAGGTGTTGCGGGACAAACTTTTGCCGTCGTTGCAGCAGCTGGTGGTGCACAAAGCCGCCGTGGTGCGCATGCCCTGTGGTGTTCGCTGGCGCCGTGGTGCATGCGGGCACTGTGTTGTGCACGCGGGCTGCAGTGCACGTGGTTGCTGCTGTGTGCGCAGGCATTGCGTTGTGCACAAGCGCTGTTGCGGATGTGTCTCGCCTTTACGTACAGGTGCTCGCATAATGCTCGCGTTATTCCTGAAAGGCGTCGAAAGAAATGTGCGTACGACATTATCCCATGTGACAGCACACCTGAGACCCCAATCCGTGTGATGGTCATCATTTTCGTATAAAATAAATTCTGGAGAAAAGAAATTTCTAGAGTCTTTCCTTCCGTGTGCCGGCTCATGGAAAGTCGCTTGGGAAAGGCCGGGACGATTAACAGGGACCCGGGTCATGTTTGCAAGGGGTGCCATGAGGAAGGGGTGGGACAATTTACCAGGGGTCTCAGTAGGTTCAGGCGGCGTTGGCACGCTGGCGACGCCGGCGAAGGTGATCAAGGTTGAATTCTGCGACGCGGAAGCGCTCAGGAACACGGTAACGCCATTGGGCCCGACGGAATTCAAATTGAAGCTATCGGCGCCGTGGTCGATTCGGGGCCGAACGCTCGGCTCGGTGTCCACAACCCTTGCGCGCACGGACGCTGCGCGAACCTACTGTGCACAGGTCGCGCGAAGAGAATCGCGCCTCGCGCCCACGAAGATGATCGCGCCTCGCGCCTCGCGGCTTGGGTCGGAGGGACGCCCCTCTCCATGACGAACCAACAACACACACCCATACCCATAGGGGGGTCGGAAAAAGGCTATGGGTGCGTGTTGTCGGATGGGGGTCCCCGCTCGAACGGGAGCGTTCCCTAGGGTCCGACAACCCGCACCCATACCCAGAGCCAGTCCTCCTCCCAACGACCCCCGTACGGGTATGGGTGTGTGTTGTTCGTTCGTCACTCCAGGGAGGCGGGACGCGAGGGCGCGATGGGGGCGGAGGTATAGCCGCGCGTCGCGCCTCGCGGGGCCCGGCGCGCGACGTCAGGTGGCCGAGCTGGCCGATGCCGAGGCGCGTCCTGGAGGGCTCTCGTCGCCACGGCCGGAGTCTCGCCGAGGTTCAAGTCCTGTCGGCCGGCAGTCTCTAAGTTACCTTAAGTCGGGTCTGTCCCCCTTTCAGGGGGATCTTCGACGAAACATTAAGAATACCCCAACAAATAGTCAAAAAATACTTCAAACATAGTCTGGGGACTATTTTTTGGGTATTGCTTGACCTCCTTGGGATATTTCAGGGGTGTTCTTTATTTTTCGTCGAAAATCCCTCTGTAGGGTGACAGGCCCGACATAAAAATTGCCCTGCCTGCTCTGCCGGATGTTCAACTTCACATCGAGAACGTGTGTTGCGTCAGCTGAAACAGGGTCCGATCGCTTTACCATTATCCAAGGCCGCCGCATCCGCAGCCGACACCCCCAGAAAAAGGTAATCAACCAAAAGGACTCCGGGAAGCAGGCGGTCGGGGGTCCGTCAAGGAGTTGTTCGCCCAAGGGGGGGGGGCGCGGGGAACGGGCCCAGCTGGATGCTCACCTCTCCTGCCTCCACTGGCAGTCCAGATGGATGCTCCTCTGGCCCAGACCGTCCTGCCCCGGCCCCACCCTCTGCAGCCCCGCGAGGGGTACGTTTGGCATCGCTCGGACGCGTGCACTTTTTTCCTTCGGTCGAGAGCCATCGAGGAGCATCCTTGCGCATGTGGCGAAACAGCCACGCACGAACCCCCCAAAAGACACAGGAAATGGACGTCCTCCTCCTTCTCCTCCTCCTCCCCCTCCTCCTCCCCCCCCTCCTCCTCTCCTCCTCTCCTCCTCTCCTCCTCCTCCTCCTCCTCCTCCTCCTCCTCCTCCTCCTCCTCTCTCCTCCTCCCCCCTCCTCCTCTCCTCTCCTCCTCTCCTCCCTCCTCCACCTCCTCCTCCCCCCTCCTCCGCCGCCTCCTCCTCCACCTCGTCCTCCTCCTCCTCCTCCTCCTCCTCATCCTCCTCCTCCTCCGCCCTTCCCAGGTGACGGCGGGCGGCCGCTGGGACGCCCCGCCGCAGCGCCCGGGCCCCCCGTGCGCCGCGGCCGCCGCGGCCACGCGGGAGATGCGCGCCGGGCTGCGGCGCGCCACCCGCGCCCTCGCCGCGGCGCTGGAGCCCGCGAGCGGGCCGCCGCCGGCGGGGGGCGCGCCGCCGGGCGGAGGTCGGCGGGTCAAAGGCGGGGTCCCGGAGGGAGGGGGCCCCGAGGAGAGGAAGGGGTCCAAAGGGAGGATCTGCGCCGTCTGGGGGTCATGATCGAAGGATGGGGCCCGGAGGGTGGGAAGGGGTCCTAGGGAGGATCTGCGCTGTCTGGGGGTCCTGAAGGATGGGGCCAGGAGGATGGGAAAAGGGGTCCTAGGGAGGATCTGCGGCGTTTGGGGGTCCTGAAGGATGGGGCCCCGAGGGTGGGAAAAGGGGTCCAAGGGAGGATCAGGGCCGCTTGAGGGTCCTGAAGGATGGGGCCCCGAGGATGGGAAAAGGGGTCCAAGGGAGGATCAGGGCCGCTTGAAGCGCCTCGTCCTCGGGACCCCATCCCTCGGGACCCCATCGTCAACGCTTTTTGTATCCGGCGTTGCGACATTGGGCGGAAGGGGGGAGGGGAGGGGGGGGTTTGGCTCCCAACCTCTGCTTAACTTCGACTGTTTGCAAAAGGGCGCCCATTATGGGGGAGACCTCACTTGCTCGAAACAGGCGCCCAAAACAGCCAGGACCTACTCTATGGCGGGGAGGGAGGGGGGTGCGGCGAGGGCCTGCGCCGATCGGCAACACAGCGCGTAAGAAAACGAGCACGTCCCTGAAGCACCGAGGATGGAGCGCCAGCCTGGCGCTGAGCGAGGCCGTCGAGCGGGGCGCGCACCTGGAGCATCTGCACCTCTACGAGGAGGCCGCCGCTGCAGGGGGTGCCCTCGACGAGCCAGCCCTGGACCACGCGGGCGACGAGCATGTCTAAGCTTAAGCAGCGGCGAAGCGTCCCGGCGTGCCTATGGGCCCACCAGAGAATGTTCTAGGAACCTCTTGTGGTCTGCATGAGATGTTCTTCGAACACTGCTGGCCGGGGCTGTTTTGTTCTAACGCACCCGGTGTATGTTCTGAGAGCATGGCTTTTGTGTTTAAAAACCTTTTGGGGTTCTAAGAACATGTCGTGGTGGGCCTATAGAAATGCCGGGACGGTCGGTCCCTGCTCAACTAATGGGCGAATTTTCCACCATCGCTACCAGATGCAGGACGGGGGAGAAGGGCGATGCTCCTCCTCCTCCTCCTCCTCCTCCTCCTTCTCCTCCCTCTCATACCTATGGTGGTGGTGGTGGTGGTGGAAAAGGGGCCCACCAATGTCCGTTTCCGCGGCCACACGGGCTGGGACCCAAGGTCCGCGCCCCCGCGAATTTGCAGGGCGTTCTTTTTTGTTCACGGGTACCCTGCACGGGACGTATCCGCGCGACCGTGCATCCGCGGGATGGCGCCCTGGAATCCAGTCCGCGAGGGCGCGGGCGCGGACATCCCGGACCCCCTCGAGCAATGACAAGAAACCATGACGGCAGGGTTTCCGCCAGTTTCGGCCTCTGGGGGGCCTCGCCGGGCCTCGGGACTGTCAAACAACGATTCAGGATGAAAAACAGGTCCTGGGAGAGGGGTCCAGTCTTCTGGGGGTCAACGTCGTGAAAAACGTCGGGGGTCTGGGATGTGCGCCGCACGCGAGGAGCTGCACACCGACGCCGGCCTCCTCCTCGCCTTCGTGGCCCCGCTGATGGCGGCGGGGTCGCCCGCGGGTGCGGCCGGCGCAGTGGAGGTGCTGCTCCCCAGCGGCCAGCGGCGGGCGCTGGTGGCGCCGCGAGACGGGGTCGTGTTCCTGGCGGGCGAGGCCTCGAGGCTCAGTATCGTTCAACCGATCCCCATGCCCATCCCCATTCTCGGGAGCGGCCAAGAGGGGGGTGATGACTGGGGGAGTTGGACATCTGGCGTGGGCCATGTTATTCCCCAGATTTTACGGCTCCTCCTCTTATTTCAGTACGTCCTTGGCCCCCATCGGGCCGCGCACATGCCACCAGCCATGATTTGCGCCCCCCCCCTTGGACGCCCCCTCCTGGCCGCTCCCGACATCCCCATCCCGGCCCCCACCGCCCCACCACCCCAGCTGGGGATCTGCCCCTCGAGACTCGCAGGAAGCAGCCTGTACCCCCATCTCTGGGGGGGGGGCACATCGGCCAGTGGGGCCCAGGCCACGCTCGGGCCGGACGAAAGGGGGGGATTGGGAAAGGGGGGGGGGTACGAAATCTGCTGCCTGCAGCTGGTGTCGGTCCCGCCGCGAGGGGCCCAATCCTCGAGACACGGCCGCCTCCCGGCGCCGGGAGGCGCCGGGAAACTCAGCTGCGCGAGCTGATGTTGAACCCCCCCCCCTTTGCTGTCTTCTTTTTTCGCCCGGCCCGACGCGCCCGTGGGGGTTTCGGGGCGGTGCAGCGGCGCCCAGAGGCTGCTGCGGTGGCCCGAGCCCGCCGCGGCCTGGCGCCCGGCGCCGCACGCCCTGCGCCTGGGTGTGCGCGGGCGGCGAAGGGCGCGTCCGAGGGGGCCCCACGCGAGCCCTGCCCCTACCCCCCACGATTTCTGAGGGGGAGGGTGGGGTCCACTTCGCTCGCAGACCCCCCACCATTTCTAACCCCTGCCCCTACCCCCCACCATTTCTCACCCTACCCCAACCCTCCACTGCCCCCCACATGCGAGCCCTACAGTGAGCGGCTTGAATAAGGAACACTTACTTTTCAAAAGGGGCTCGGTCGTTCCTTAGGCCTGCATGCGTTATGTACAGTTCCTTCTGCGCTATTTGTTATTGATCGATCCTTATGCGTTATTCCTTGGAATACAAAAGGGGTTTCGTTCCTTATTTATCGTTCCTTAGGTCAGGCCGATGACTGTACCCCTGCCCCCCCACGATTTCTGAGGGGGAGGGGTAGGGCTCGCGTGTGGACCCCTGCGTCCGCGCCAAGCGCCCCCTCGCGCGCGTCCGTGGGCTCCGCGGCGCGATCCCGCGCGAGAGGCGGGCACACGGATCTGCGCCCTTCGGCAGGAGATCTACGTCGGGCCTGTCCCCCTACAGGGGGGAGCTTCGACGAAAAATGCAAAACAAAACAAAAAACATGGGGATTTCAGACGAAAAAGCCAGGGGGATTTTCGACGAGATCTAAGTCGGGCCTGTCCCCCTATACAGGGGGATTTTCGACGAAACATACAAAACAAATATTTCAAAATAGCAAAAAGAAATGCTCAAAAAATAGTCCCCTGACAAAAAAAAACACTTTTTCGAAAATCCCCCTCTTTTGGGACACGCCCGACAGAACAGCAGATCATGGGAGCCTCACCTGCCCTCTCGCAGCTCCGTCTCTCGGGTGCACCGGCGTCGAGTGGCGCCTGGTGGTGGATCGATGGGGCAGCGCCGACTTGGCGTCGACCAGCGTCAACGAGCGTCGTTTCGCGCCGATGTCGTGTCGACTAGCGTCAGGTATCGGGGATGGGCAGAGCCCCCACCCTGACACGCAGATTAGTGAATTGTCCGTCTTCGGCTCACGAGAGGGCGCCGCGGCCGTCCTTTTCCAGGCTTGCGCCCGCCAGGTTTGGGCCCGAGGTCGTTCTCACTAAACCACGTCTTACGAAAGGGGGTTCTATCCACCCCCGAAAGTAGCGCCGATTCGCAAGAGCCAGCAATATGGTACTTCAGAGCCCCGAATCATCAGGGGTAACTTGGGTCAGGGCTAACTCGGGTTCGTTTTTCGGGAATCCGAACCCGAGTTACCCCGGACCCGAGTTACCCCGGATAATTCGGGCGTCCAGAACCCCACATCATCAGGGGTAACTCGGGTCTGGGCTAATTCGGGTTCCTTTTTCGGGAAAGTTACCCCGGACCCGAGTTACCCCGGATAATTCGGGCGCCCAAGTACTGGAGGCTCCCACGAGGTGCAACAGAAGTGTTCCGCGCGGGGCATCCGCGAAGCAACGCCCCGCATATCCGCGGGGTCGCGGCCGCGAGGGTCCGCGAAGGCGAGGGCCCGCGAGGGCACAGCTGGGAGACGCTTTTTGCCCACGGGTCGACCACACGCAAGAGTGACCTTGCGCCGGGGTGAGCTGCGGTGTGGGCCCACGTGTCTGCACGAACGAGATGGATACGGAAAGAATGGGTACAATGCCCAACAGCAGTTCCTGTTCATTTTGAACAGGAGTCGCTGTCCACGCCGCCGCGGCCTGTGTTCATTCGAGACAGAAGGCCGCCTGCCCAACAGCAGCCGCTGCTGGTTTGGGACAACATTTGCTGTTGGGCATTGTACCCATTTTTCCGTACCCATTTCGGGCGTCCAAACACGTGGGGTCTCGGGGGCCCCCGAACGGGGTGGTGACCACACCTTGCGGTGAGTCGGTGGGGATTCTCGGGCCGGGCGAAATGGGGGGATTGGGAAAGGGGGGGGGTACGAAATTTGCTGCATGCAGCTGGTTTCGGCCTCACCGAGGGGCCTGATTTCCTCGAAACATAGCCGCCTCCGGCGCCGGGAGGCGCCGGGAAAATCAGCTACGTGAGCTGATTCTCAAACCCCCCCTTTGCTATCCCCCCCTTTCGCCCGACCCGAGATTCGGGGTCACTGCACGGTTTTGGGGCTCGAGCCCCTCTCCGAGGATGTCTTGGGCGACGGGGGCCTCCGGGGTCCCACGGCCGTGCGGCGGCGGACCGCGCGGTGAGGCCTCTTGGGGCCCCGAGGGCACCGCACCGACTCGGCATCGCAGCGTTTTGGGACTCCAGAGGGTCCCCCGATCGCCGGAGGCGATGCGATAGCTGCGTCTTGCGCTCTCCTCCTCCTCCTCCTCCTCCTCCTCCTCCTCCTCCTCCTCCTCTCCTCCTCTCCTCCTCTTCCTCTCCTCCGCCTTTCCTTTCTCTCCTCTCGCCTCCCCCCTTCCTCTCCTTCTCTTCCTCTCCCCCTCCCCCTCTCCTTCTCCTCCTCCTCCTCCTCCTCCTCCTCTCTCTCCCTCTCCCCTCCTCCTCCTCCCCCTCCTCCTCCTTCCTCCTCCTCCTCCTCCTCCTCCTCCTCTCTCTCCTCCTCTCCTCCCTCTCTCCTTTCTCCTCCTCCCTCCTCCTCCTCCTCCCCCCCCCCCCCCCTCCCCCTCTCCTCCTCCTCTCTCTCTCCTCCTCTCCATCCTCCTCTCTCTCCTCGTCCTCTTCCCCTCCCTTCCCCTCCTCTCCTCTCCTCTCCTCTCTCTCCTCCCTCCTCCACTCCCCTCCCCCCTTCCCTCTTCCTCGTCTCCCCTCCTCCCTCTCCTCTCCTCTCTCCTCCTCTACCTTCCCTCCTCCTCCTCCTCCCCCTCCCCTTTCCTCCTCTCCGGCCTCCTCCTCCTCCTCCTCTCCTCTTCTTCCTCCTCTCCTCCTCCTCCCCCTCCTCCTCTCCTCCTCCTCCTCCCCCTCCCCCATTCCCTCCTCCTTCTCCTCCCTCCCCCTCCCTCCTCCTCTCCCTCCTCCCCTCTCCTCCTCCTCCTCCTCCTCTCTCCCCCTCCCCTCCCCCATCCCTCCTCTCCTCCTCTCGCCCTCCTCCCTCCTCCTCTCCTACCTCTTCCTCCTCCTCCTCCTCCTTCCTCTCCTCTCCTCTCCCTCCTCCTCTCCTCCCCCTCCCCCCTTCACTCTTCCTCCTCCTCCTCCTACTCCTCTATCCTACTCCTCCTCTTCTTCCTCAGCCTCTCACCTCCCTCTTCCTCCTCCCCTCCTCCTCCTCCTCCTCCTCCTCTCCTCCTCCTCCCTCCTCTCCTCCTCCTCCCCCTCCTCATCCTCTCCTCCCCCTTCCATCCTCCTCCTCCTCCCTCCTCCTCCTACTCCTCCTCCTCCTCTCCCTCCTCCTCCTCCTCCTCCTCCTCCTCCTCCTCCGCCTCCTCCTCCTCCTCCTCCTGCCGCCCCTGTGGCTCCCCGAGCGCCGCGGTCCCAAGGCCAGAGGGTCCCTCTCGCGCGTGGCCGACCCACTAGGTGCCGGGTTCGGCTGGCGGGCGTGGTTCGGGGCCATGCTGCTGCCGCCTCCGGACACCCTGGTCCCAGGCAGCCCGACCGCAGGTCCTTTGGTGGTCCCCAAACGTGGTGGTGAGAACACCCGGTGGTGAATTTTGGGCGTTTTGGGTAATGGTTTTCGAGCCCTGGCTGGCCCAGGAACCGCGAAACCTCGTGGCGACCGCGTGTCCCCAAACCCGGTGGTGACCCAGAATTATTCTTTTGGGGAATCGGGGTCACCACCGGGTGTCTCACCACCTGGTTTGGAGACCACCAAGTCCTCTAGGCCTCCCAGATGGGGTCGGAGCAGCTGGGGTCGGAGGAGCGCGCCGCGTCGCCGATGCGTCGCCAGCGCGGCCTGGTGTCGAGCCCGATTTTTGCCTCGCGCCGACGCCGCCGATGCACCGCCGACGAATCGACGATGCCTCTCCGGTGCATCGCCGATACGTCGTCGCTGCCTCGCCGAAGCATCGCCGACGCGGCGCGGCGCGATCCTCCGACCCCATCTGCCCGAGCCCCATCTGGGAGGCCTCCACAGGTGCCCGCGCCCCAGCGGTTGCCTTCGGCGCCCTCTGGGAGGCCGCGCGGCTCGAGCAGGGGCCCGGCCCGGGCGCGGGCGCCGTGGGCTGCGGCGGCGGCCTGCGGCTGTCGGGGGCGGCAGAGAGGGGGGTGATGACTATAGGGGGGGGGATATCATGATGACTATAGGAGGGGGGATATCATGGCGTGGGCCACGATATTTCCCCAGATCTCATGGCGCCCCTTCTTACTTCGTTACGCCCCTGGCCCCCCCGGGGGCCGCGCACCCCTGCCGCCTGTCACGATTTGCACGCCCCCCCCTCTCGGACACCCCCCTCTTGGGACACCCCCCGAGGCTGGCGGACCAGGCGGGCGGGTGCCCCGCGGGGTCGGCCAGCTGCTGGCTGACCTGCATGAGCACGCTGGGCCTGGAGACCTGCCAGGGGCACGTCTGGACCCGGGCGCGGGAAGCCGGCTCGCGGGCGCGGCGCGCGAACCTCAGCGTGCAGTGCCGGGAGCCGGGCTCCGGCAGGCGGTGGCCGAGCGAGACGGGGGCGATGTGCAGGACTCGGGCAAGAGCAAACAGCATACATGATACCAGAGGAAAACACAAAACATTTTTTTTTTAGGGCTGTAGGGCTATAGGGCTACAGGGCTATATGGGATCTTGGGCGCTAGATGGGCTATTGGGCCATATGGCTAACCCGGATAAGCGATTAAGGACCCCCCCCCCTCTCCGGTGAAAAGATAACGCACCCGGCACCCGGAAGCGTTATCCTGGCACCAGGAGGGGGTACACCCTCCTGAAAGAATGAGGAAACGCATGCGGAGGAGTCAGAGAGCTTCAGTGGCCACGCGTCTTTCCAGTGCTCGACCCTCGCTGTTCGGTGCCGTAGCCATGTACACTGATCCGCTCCTACTCTGGCTCGGGGATTTATTTTGGTCCTGCCGGGTGCTAAGATAACGCCGCGGTGCGGGGCGGGGGCGATACCCTGGGATGGACCACCTCCTACGACGGCCGAACAAAAATAATTGTTCCAAAGGGGTTGCAATAGAAATCTCATTAGAAAAATGGGGGCTGGAGGAAGAGAAGGAGGAGGAGGAGGAGGAGGAGGAAGAGGAGGAGGAGGACACGGAGGAGGACGCGCTCACAGACAAGGCTCCCGCCTTGGACTTCCTCCATACTCAGGCCTTGGGGGTACTCTGCGAGGGTCACTGCGAGGGTCACAAGTTCTCCTTAGCTTTTCTTTAGTTGTCCTTAGCTTTTCCTTAGCTTTTCCTTAGTTTTCCTCAGCTTTTCCTCAGCTTTTCTTAAGTTTTCCTTAGTTTTCCTTAGCTTCTCCATAGCTTTTCAATAGTTGTCCTTAGCTTTTCATTAGTTGTCCTTAGCTTTTCTCAGCTTTCCCTTAGCTGTTCTTCGCTTTTCTCAGCTTGTCTTGATCTTTTCCGGAGCTTTTCTCAGCTTTTTCTTAGCTTGTCTTAGCCTTTCCTTAGCTTTCCTCAGTTTTTCTCAGCTTTTGCTTAGCTTTTCTAAGCTTTTCCTCAGCTTTTCTCAGTTTTTCCTTATTCGTATTCGTATTCTTATTTTCATTACAATTCTAATTGGGATGCCACCCGAGGCGGGGCGCTGGAATTATTCATTTTCCTTCCATGTGCGCGGGGCTAATAATATCGCTCGGCGAAAACCCCCCAAATAATTATTTAATTACGGCGCGGTGCTAATGATAACGCCGGGGGGTTCCTTAATTGCTTCTCCGGGTTATATGGGCTATATGGCTATAGGGCTATGGGGCCATAGGGCTATAGATGGCTATAGGGCACCCCCGGGCACCCCCGGGCACGCCTGGGCACCCGGGCACCCGGGCACTTCGGCACCCACGGGCACCCGGGCACCCGGGCGTGCGGCGAAAATCGGAGGCAAACCTAACCTAACCATATGAATCCGCTAGGACCCCTACAGAGGCAAGCTCTGATTGGGGAAACACACACGCACACACTTTTGCGTCGGGGGCTAGGCAGAGTGACTGCGCTGGCGGAAAGAGCATATGTAGGGCGTACACATGCGAACTATGCCGCGATGCACGTTTGGGAAGGAAGGAGGACGGCTCGGCGCGGGCGGGAGGGAGAGGAGGCTCGGCCCGCTCAAAGAGGGGCCAGGCGGCGGCGGGGGGGCGCCGTGGCAGGGAGCCAGTAGCGGCGCCATGGGAGCAGCTGGGGGGGTAGCAGCCAGGATGGCCGCCAGGGCAAGCGCCCAGGGGGGGAGCGACACACTTTCACCACTTTCACACACAAACACGCACGCAAGCACGCGCGCAAGCACGCACGCACGCACGCGCGCGCGCTTGCGCACGCACGCACGCACGCACGCACGCACGCACGCACGCGCGCACGCACGCACGCACGCACGCGCACACGCACGCACGCACGCACGCACGCACATGCACACACGCTCACGCACACGCACACGCACACGCACACGCACACGCACACGCACACGCACACGCACACGCACGCACACGCACACGCACACGCACACGCACACGCACACGCACGCACACGCACACGCACACGCACACGCACACGCACACGCACACACGCGCACGCGCACGCGCACGCGCACGCGCACGCGCACGCGCACGCGCACGCGCACGCGCACGCGCACGCGCACGCACACGCACACGCACACGCACACGCACACGCACACGCACACGCACACGCACACACGCGCACACACACACGCACACACACGCGCACACACACACACACACGCACACACACGCACACACACGCGCACACGCACGCGCGCGCACGCGCACACACGCACGCACTTTGGAGGGTCCGTGTGGACGTCTTTGATCTGCGCCTGCGCTCGACCCCCCCGGGGGGCGTCTCCAGCAGCGGGCTGGGAGGGGGCTTGAGTACTGAACCACAACATGTAAGTCTGGCTGGCACGTCCCTCCCCAGTCATGATCGCGTCGGAAAAAAATCAGGACGGCAGGTTGTTCGCTATGTTCGGCCCCTGGGGGCCCTTGCCGGGCCTCGGGACCTTCAAACAACGACTCAGGACGAAAAACCGGTCCCGGGAAAGGGTCGGGATTTCCAGGGACGCCGTCCTGAAAAAATCAGGACGTCGCATGTCTGGGTCTAGAGGAGAGGTATTCAAAAATAGTCAAACAATAAGAGGGGAACATTTTTTTGTTACCATGTTGGGGCATGCATTGATCGCTTTTTATTTTTGGTCCGGAACCCGCTTTTAGGAGGACATGCCCCACCTAACACAACATCCATGAGGACCTTAGGGTGTTTCTGTGTCAGGTAGGTTTCGTGCACACGTGGTGGCGACCCCGCCGCGGGCGTTCAAGGATGAACGACGCTGATGACCCAGAATCGGCAAACATGGAGCGCTCTGGCAATGGACAGCTGCCGATCCACACGGTGTCAGGCATGAATCAGGAGGGGAACCAACCCACAGACACAAGTAGTCGTCGATCCCCTGGAAGATGTGGGAAAATAGAGGGGGAGTGGGGAGGAGGACGAAAACCAAAGGAAGTCTGGGGAACTATGGGGGATCCTGGGATTCGTGTCCATGTATTCGTGTGCCCCTGGGCCCCTCTTGATGAGCGCCGAGGCCCTCGCGGCACGAGTGCGCCGCAGGTCCCACAGGTCCGGTCCCGACCCTCTGCCGGGGCGAGGATGCGGTTTGTTGAGGGTCCTTAGTTTGAGTCGGGCCTGTCCCTCTCCAGCCCACTCGCTCAAGGATCGAGGCTTTCTCCGAAGGGCTTAGGCGACCGATCCTCCTCCTCCTCCTCCTCCTCCTCCTTCGCCTCCTCCTCCTCCTCCACCTCCTCCTCGTCCGCCTCCTCCTCCTCCTCCTTCGCCTCCTTCTCCTCCTCCCCGGAAGAGGGGTTGGCCCCCGCGACGACCCCCCCTCGGCGCCGCGGGGAAGGGACTGGAGGGATCTAGGCCTCCCAGATGGGGTCACACACACACACACACGCACACACACTCATCATCATCATCATCATCATCATCATCATCATCATCATCATCATCATCATCATCATCATCATCATCATCAACATCATCATCAGCAGCAGCAGCATCATCATCATCATCATCTTCATCATCATCATCATCATCAGCATCAGCATCAGCATCAGCATCATCATCATCATCAACAGCATCATCATCAACATCATCATCACTAACTCGCGCACTCACGCACTCGCCCACTCGCTCACCCACCTACCCGCCCACCCACTCGCTCACACTCATCATCATCATCATCCTCATCATCATCCTCATCATCATCCTCATCATCATCATCACCATCATCGTCATCATCGTCATAATCATCATCATCACCACCATCATCATCAACATCACCACCACCATCATCAGCGTCACCATCATTTTCTTCATCATCATCATGATCATCATCACCATCATCAGCATCACCATCACCATCACCATCACCATCATCACCACCACCATCATCATCATGATCATCATCACCAGGACCATCATCAGCATCATCATCACCATCACCATCACATCATCATCATCATCATCATCATCATCATCATCATCATCATCATCATCATCATCATCATCATCATCATCATTATCATCATCATCATCCTCATCATCATCATCATCATCATCATCATCATCATCATCATCATCATCCGTAACCATTTTGGCCCAGGCCTTTTCCGTAGGCCCCCTGCTCCTGGACCTTGTCCCTCTGAGGTCCTTTGGGGGCAGGGCTCTTGGCTCACGGAGCGATGGTGGCACGGGATGGCGCGGAGTGCGCGCAAAAGCGATCGGCGGCCCAGCGCAGGGCAGACCGAGAGTGGGCGAAGTTGGCCGCCGATAGTGCTGTCAGGCGGTTCTCGGGCGAGCTGGCCAAGACCCGATTTCGCCTGGAGGCCGCGGAGGAGGCCCTGTGCGCCGTCATCGGTGACGGCGAGGTTGGGCAGTGACTGCAGGCGATGCTCCCCGCGCTGCAGGCCAAGCTTGGGATAGGTCCCCCACATGGTTCGAGCGACTGCGGCGTAATGTCACCCTCCACGCTGATGCGCAGGGCGTGGACATCGTTGCGGCGGGAGCGGCGGAGTTGCGCTGTGCCCAGCGGGGGCCATGGCTGGAGGGGCGCGCGGTGCCCAGGCGCGAGGCCGAGGAGGCTGCCGCTGGGGCGATGCGGGTGGAGGCGCTCTCCCTTGTTCCTGCCGGCCTCCCTGGCGCTGTCACGCCCGACCTCGCGCTTGAAGGAGTCGGCCGAGACGGGGGCGTCCGAGCTGCGCGGGCGCGGCGCCACCTCGCGGCAGTCGCCGTGAGCCTCAGGGACTACGTCGACGCAATCGCGGAGGACGGCAGCGAGCAGCTGGAGCCTCTGGATGGCAGGCCGCGGGTGCAGTTGCCTAGGGAGCCAGCAGCGGTCCAGCAGCGGTCCAGGGGCCAGCAGCGGTCCAGGGGCCAGTTGCGCCTCCCTCTACCGGGGCCAGTAGCGGTCCTTGGGGAGCCCAGACGGGGGCAGACCCTAAAGGAGGGCAACGGACCTTGGCGCGAGGCCGCAGACATGCGGGTGGCCGAAGCCCTTGACCAGGTCCAGCCTCCACCTTGGGCCGCGGATGCGCGGGTGGTCGAAGCCCCAGGGTAGAGAGGCTCTTCGTCGGCGCCGGAGCGCGGAGACATCTTTGAGGAGCCCGCTGCTGGGCAGACCCAGAATGAGGGGGGGGAGCTTTGGAACAAGGCCGCAGACGTGCGGGTGGCCGAAGCGCTTGACCGAGCTCAGCCCCATTCCAGGGCCACGGACGCGTGGGCGGTCGAAGCCCCTGGGATGAGGGCCCCCCCCCAGCGGCTGGCGTCGGGGCGCGGAGGCGTCTTTGGGGAGCCCGGACAGGGGCAGACTCTAAAGGGAAGGGGAGGCGAGCTCGTGCTCGAGGCCGCAGACGTGCGGGTGGGCGTTTCCGCGGACCGAGCTCAACCTCCGCTCAGGGCCACGGACGCGTGGGTGGTCGAGTCCCCTGAGCCGAGCGCCCCCTCCCAGGCGCTGGAGGACCAGAAGGGCAAGCACAAGCGCAAGTCCGGCCTGAACCTGGTCGAGGACGGGGGCTTCTTCGAGGGCGGGCTGGAGGACCCGAAGGGCCAGTACAAACGCGAGGTCGGCCTGGGCCTGGGCGCGAACGTGAGCGCGCGCGAGGACTGGTCGGAGTGCGGCGGCCTTCGCGGCGGCGCAGGCTTCCTGTCCGCGCGCGGGCCCCTGGAGGCGGGGGCCGCCCCTCGGACCGCCCTCGCAGCGGCCAGCATCCTCTTGGGGGTCTCACTCGAGGCCCCGTACCAGCTCGCGGGCGTCGCGGGCTGAGTCGCCGTGACTGCTCGGGTGTCGTTTTGCGCTTGCTTCGGCTGGGGCGGGGGGCGGCTTCTCGGCACTCAGGCGATTATGCGTGCGTGCCGTGGGCACGAGACCGCGCGTTGCCTCCGCAGGGCCAACGGGAAACGCCTCGGTCCGAGGGGCAGTACGAGCTAGGAGCTCCTGACCTTTTGAAACGCGTGGATCATAATCATCTTCATTCATCATCACCACCATTGTGGTCGCCAACATCATCATCGCCTTCACTCATTCACTCACTGATTCATTTACTCACTCATCTCACTCGGGAGCTTCGTCAGTGAATGAGCTGCGAGGACGTCTCAGGCGGGGATCCCCTCCATATGGGGCCCACAGATCCTGTCATTAATCCGAGGGGGTCATCATGATCCTGTAATTGTCGTCACCGTTGGCCTCTTCAAGATTGAGTGCGGCGGAAGTCTCAGGCGGGAGCCTCGTCTGCGAGCGAATTGCCAAAAGGCTCAGGCGGGGGAGCCCTCCCCATGGGGCCCGCAGCTCACGTTATTAATGCGAGCGGGCCATCGGAATCCGGTAACCGTCGTCACTTCTGGCCTCTTCCAGCTTGAGTATGGCAGAAGTCTCAGGCGGGAGCCTCGTCTGTGAATGGATTGCGGGGGCGTTTCAAACGGAAGCCCTGTCCCTGAGGGGCCCGCAGCTCATGTTATCAATCCGAGCGGGTCATCGGAATCTTGCATTTGTCGTCGTTGTTTGGCCTCTCCAAGCTCGAGTATGGCGGAAGCCTGATGCTGGGGCATCGTCTGTGACTGAAGCGCGAGGGAGTCTCAGGCAGGAGCCCCCTCCCTATGGGCCCCGCGGCTCACGTTACTAATCGGAGCAGGTCATCGGAACCCTGTGTTTGTCGTTGATTTCGGGCTTCTGAGAGTTGAGTAGTGAGAGTATCAGGCGGGGTTGCCCCAACGGCTGCGCGATGCGGCCATTGCAGATTGCGCCCATGCTGGTCAAGGCGGCGACGGCGCCGAGGAAAACCGACGCGCGCGCTCCTGCCAGGAGAATAGAGGGGTGCACGACGAGAACTGGCGGGGCGGAGATGCGGAGGGGGAAAAGGGGGGAGGCGAGGGAGGAGGAATCAAACTACGAAGAGGAGGACAAATACGAGGAGGAAAGGGAGGGAGAGGAGGAGGCGGAGGGCGAGAACAAAGAGGAGGAGAAGCGGACGAACAAGGGGGTAAGCAACGCGCAGGACGAACATGAACAGGATGATGAGAAGGATGAGAAGGAGGAAGATGAGGAGGACGCAGAGGGCGAAGGCAAGGCCTCACCCAGTAGATGCAGAAAAGGGCGAAGGGCAGGCTGAATCGATTATCGTCCTGGGTTCTACTGTCGGAGTATTTTATTGAATCGCTTCGCTCATTCCGCCGGCCCGTGATATGGCATCGCTGGTTTTTGTCTGTGTGTTCGTTGCCCATGTTGCGTTCTTGGGGGCGGGTGTCGTTCGGACGCGTTGCGTGGGGAGTTTTGATGGTGAAGCAGTTCCCTAATGGTCGTCTCTCGATGGGGCGAAATAGAGTCGTCGTCAAGATGCTTCTTTGGGGGGCCTCTTGGGGTCTGTTGAGAGGCCGTTCGGGGGCGCCTGGGAGACATGTTTGAAGCCTTCTGGGGCTTCTTTTGGGCCTCCTGGGAGTCTCCTGGGGCCTCTTGGCGACATCTTGGGGCCTCTTGGAGGCCTCTTGGGGCCTCTTTGGGACCTCCTGGGCGCCTTCTGGGACGGAGGGCTCCATTTTTGAGTTCTCGGTATCCCTCCTGAGTCCCTCTTGGGCCCGTCTTGGGGCCTCTTGGTCCGTCTTGGGCGGCACTTGGGCCGTCTTGAGGGCTCTCTTGGGTCGTTTCGGCGCCGTCTTGGGAGCTTCGTGGGCCGTCTTGGAGCGGTCTTGGGGGCCTCTTGGGCCGTCTTGGAGCGTCCGGAAGCCGAAAAAGCCAGAACACAAAAAACATCGAAAAAACAATGAAAATCAACGATTTTGGCCTCTTGGGGCTCTCTTCGGAGGCCTCTTGGAAGGCTCTTGGGGCGTCTTGGAGGCCTCTTGGGCTGTCTTGGGGGCCTTTTGGGCCGTCTTGGGGTCATCTTCGGCGTCTTCGAGCGCTCTTTGGGCGTCTCGGGGGCCTCTTGGGCAGTCTTGGGGGCCTCTTGGGGCACTCTGAGCGCGCTCTGGGGAGCCTGAGAGGCCGCACCCAGAAGGAAAACCATCTCTGAGTAGACTTGGTCGGGCGGCGGTCGGGCGGCGGTCGGGCGGCGACCGGGCGTTGGTCGGGGTACTTTTCGCCGGGGGAACCCCAGGGGCCGCCCCGCGCGCGCGAACTAGAAATACTGTTAATACTGTTAACCAGTTACCGGAGATCTTAGCACGCCCTGGCCCGTTGGGCCGGCGAATTTTTCGTCCGAAGTCCGCCTGTAGGGGGGCGTGCCCGACCTGATCTTCGGTGCAGAAGACGGGCATGGAAGGCCGAACTCAGGAAACAACGTTCGGATTCGAAGTGTTGCGTGTTTGCGTCTAGCGAAAGCCAGGAGGAAACAAAAGCACACACAGACACAATTCATCGGCAATTCCCAGGAAAGTGTGGGAAGGTAGGGGAAGTGGGGGGGGTGACGACGAACATCCACAAAATATATGGGAACATGTTGGGGGTCCCAGGATCTGTGTGTGTGTGTGTGTGGATGCAGAGGCCTCCGGCGCTCGACGTGTGTTGTGAGAGCACTGGTGACACATCGGCACATTTTGGCCCAGCCTAGAAATCCTCCTCCTCCTCCTCCTCGTTCTCCTCCTCCTCCTCCTCGTCCTCCTCCCCGTCGTCCTCCTCGTCCTCCTCCTCGTCCTACTCCCCGTCGTCCTCCTCCTCCTCGTCCTCCTCCTCCTCGTCGTCATCCTCCTCGTCGTCGTCGTTCTCCTCCTCCTCCTCCTCCTCCTCCTCCTCCCCCTCCTCCTCCTCGTCCTCCTGCTTCTCCTCCTCCTCCTCCTCCTGAGGCCTGCCAGCAAAGATCTCGGGGAGGAGGTTTAGCAAAATGGCCAGCTCCGCGGCCTACCAGTGGGGGTCAAAGCTTCGGGGGTCAGAGTATGGTAGGCTGAAATCCTTGGATGTTCCTTGTTTCGGGCCCTATTTGTCTCAGAGCATGGTGCTTCGTGTGGGTTTTCTTCGTGCGTCCTATGGGCACTCCTCGCCAGGGCCAGTCTTTGTTTCAGAAAATCTGTATTCCTCAGCTTGCCCTTCGATGACTCTGACCCCTAGCAGTCTGATTCTCAGGAGCAGTCGAGACGCTGAAATCATGACCGCTCTGGGTTCGGAAAGGGGCTCGCTGTTCCTCAGATCGCCCCGTGGTCGCGCCTCGAGCCCTCTTCTGTGTCCCAGGGCTCTTGTGGTGCCAAGAGAGGGGCTCCATTGCTTACTCCGGATTCCATAATAAAGTAGGGGGGGTCACATTTGGCGGGGGGGTCTGATTTGAGCTGTCTTGGAGGGTTCGGGGGGGTCTGGGCAAAGGGCCGCCAGTTCATGGATGGTCTGGGGGGGTCCAAGACTTCTCGTCTGGGAGGGTCGAGACTCCCTCCCTTTTCTCACGAACGCTGGAGCACTCGGCCTTGCCTCCTGCAGCAGCTCGGCTGCAGCGCTGCAGATCGTGCTCCCTTCCAGTCCCTCCGAGAACCTGCCGGCCGATGTGCACGGCGGCGGTGGAGGGGCACGCGCCGGGGCCCCCGGCGGCGCCCGCGGCAGGCAGGTTCTGCAGGAGCCTCGGCGGCTCGGTCTCGGGCACGGGCTCCGGCACGACCATGTACATGGACGGCCTGCGCCTGACGTCCGCGGCGAGGGACGAGGCGTCGGGGGCCAGAGGGGCAAGGGGTCGTGATACTCTCAGGAGGGGACAAAAACACACAGACACCATTCATCCTCGATTCCCCAGAAAATAGAGGAAAATATGGGAAGTGGGGGGGAAGGCAAAAACCTAGAAAGTATGGGAAAATATGGGGAGTGTTTTTATTTGTGTGTATATAGTTGTGTGTCCTGGGGCCCCTTCATACTCAGCGGAGGAAAAGGTACCAGCATCGCGACTCTTGCCTCGTTTCTCCCCCGATTTGGGGGCCTCCTGGGGGGCCCTCGTCGCCACCGCTGGATTCGCATCGACATGTTTGTCAGAACGCACCCTGGGAGAGGTCTGGGGAGTAGCGGTATCGGTCTCTTCTGGTTTCTCCAGACACGGTAGGTTCAGGCGGCGTTGGCACGCTGGCGACGTCGGCGAAGGCGCTCAAGTTTGAATTCTGCGACGCGCAACCACAGAGGGACACGGTGAGGCCTCCGGACCCGACGGAATTTAACCTTGATCGATCGGGGCCACGATCGGTTCAAGGATGAACGATCGTTGCGGTGTCAAAAGGCGTGACGCGCGCCAAAGCCGCGCGAACCTACCGTGACGATGCGTTCCAGGATGCCTTAGGTTCCCGGGATATCCCACATGTCCGAGCGCCCCATACAGGCTGCAAACACGAGGGTGGTTGGACTTTTTTGTTGGCATATTGAAACGTACCTTAAACCAATCTTACTATGACGTCCATCTCGCCCTAGCGCTCTTGAGGAAGAAGAGATACCGATGCCTCTGCTCGTCCTGGAGAGCCCTCTGCCCTCTCGCCACGGCTGGATACTCCTCGGAATTCTGGTCAGACTGCACCCCGGGAGTGTTCCGGGGAGTAGCTGTGTCTGGTATTTTTTTTGTCCACCTTTACATCGCTTGAGGGATCGCTTTGCGGGGACCTCGGCAGGCGGTGGATATAGACATATTCGGGCCCCAGGGAGGGGGGGGGGAAGGGAGGGGGGGGGGGGGGGGCAAATGTATGCATTTCCGCCGCTTGTGGTGGTTATCGACAGGCGGTGGTTATCGACCCCACTGGCGGTGGTTATCCATAAATCCCCGCCTCACAGTAGGTGGATGCTAGTCGCAGACGGTTCCTCGCAACAGATCCCCGAGCTCCCCTTTCCCAAAATTGCAGTGTAAGTAAAGAGCGTGGGCATTTCAGGGGTACACCCCCAGATGGATATCCTGACGCAGTTTTATCGAGGATGGGTGCTCCCCAGTTGTGCATCCCCTCGGCTGGGCCCCGTCGCCATGAAGCAGATGGGCCCTGCGGGTCTTCGCAGTGTTCTGGCCCTGCCTTTTTTGCTGCTCGCGCTCCACGAGGGACCCTCCTCCCGCCGAGGCGCCCGACCGCCGCGGCCGCGACGAGGCGCGACCTCGGAAGTGGGCAGACCTCCTACCCCGACACGTCGAGTAAGGAACTGGCCGCTTTCGGTTCGCGAGAGGGCGTCGCGGCCGTCGTCTTGGCGGGTCTGGGTCCCTCGGCTTCGGTCCCAGGCCGCTTTCACTAAGGGGAGGTGTACTAGATGTGAGGTTTGTCCACCGCCGACGACCCGGCCGGCGTATTGTTGAGTATTATTTGGCCATTTGGGGATATTGTTGGTGTATGTTTGTTTATTTGTCGTTCCCTGCCTAGGCTCTGCCTAGAAGGGTTCTTACCCTGTGTGCTTAAAGGGCCGAGCAGTGGGTCCCGCCCCGGGCGGTTCCCCCAGGATCCGCCCCGCGGTTCCCCCAGTTACGTCCCCTTAGCTTAGCGTTGCTTATCTCATCTAAGCTTAGCTTAGCTTAGCTTAGCGTAGCTTCATCTTAGCTTCGCGTAGCTGTAGCTTAGCTTTGCTTAGCTCAGCATATGATAGCATAGCCCCGAATAGCATATGATAATGCAGCATGTCATAGCATATCATTGCATAACATAGCACATCATATTACAGCATAGCATAGCATAGCGCAGCATAGCATAGCATACCATAGCCTAGCATAACATAGCGCAGCCTAGCGTAGCATAGCACAGCGCAGCATAGCATAGCATAGCACAGTAGCAAAGCAAAGGCACAGCAACAGACAAGGCAAAGGCATAGCAAGCATGTTCCAAATCAACGGCAAGGCAATGCAAAGCAAAATCAACACCAATGCGAAAGTGTTTATGTAGATGTAGATGTAGGTGTAGGGGTAGATGTGGATGTAGTTATAGATGAAGATGTAGCTCTAGGTGTATATGTAGGTGTAGATGTAGATGTAGATGTGAGTCTCGCCGTTGATGTTGATGTAGATGTAGATGCAGATGCAGGTGTAGATGTTCATGTGGCTGTCGGTGTTAATGTAGATGCTGCTTTCCTAGATGCTCCAACTCCTAGGTAGGGTCGCACTGGGATAATGGAAGATCCCCCTGTAGGGGGACACGCCCGACTTCAAGGAAAGGGGGGGGGTGCGACATCTGCTGCACGCAGCTGGTTCCGGCCCCGCCGCCGGGCCCATCCCTCGACGCACAAAGGCGCGAGCGAGCGAGCGCGCCGCTAGCGAGGGCGGGCGGCGGCAGCCGAGCCCGCGGCGAGGGCGGGCTGCCGGGCAGGCCGCCGAGGGGCGGGCCTCCCTGGCTCTCGGGGTCCTCCCCGGGGGCCCTGGGGCCGTCGAAGGTGAGGGGGTCTCGGGGGCAACGGTAGGGAGGAATGGGCATAGGGTCAGAGCCCCGAATCATCAGGGGTAACTGGGGTCAGGGATAACTCGGGTTCGTTTTTCGGGAATCCAAACCCGAGTTACCCCGGATCACTCGGGCGCCCAATAGGGGGGGATGCATCGACCCCCAATCATCGGATGCACTGAGTTATTTAGTCGCTCATTCCACCGGCCCTGGAGCGCTATTTGGGGCCTCTTGGGCCCGTCTTGGGGGCTTCTTGGGAGCGTCTTGGGGCTCCTTGGCGACGTATTGGGCTCCCCTGGCGCCTCTTGGGGGGCTCTTGGGGGCCCCTTGGGGCGGGAGGGGGATGGGCACAGGGGAGGATGCATGGAACCCCAATCATCGGATGCAATGAGTTATTCACTCGCTTAGCTTTTTCCGTCGACCAATGTGTAGCATCGTTGGCACTCGACTGCGTTCTCTCGAGGGCATTTCTAGAGCCCGTTAGGGCCTCTTCGGGAAGCCTCTTAGGGAGGGTCTTTTGGGGGCAACGATAGGGGGTAATAGGCATAGGGGGGATATATCAACCCTCAGGGGGGGATATATAACCCTCAGTCGCCCATTGATCGCCGATAGGGGCTCGATAGCCCCACCCCGCCCAGGAAGGTTCGGATTCACTCTCGGGGGCCTATCGCCGATCTATCGGCGATGTATCGCCGATTCCAGGTCGATGCATCCCCCCCTATCGTTGCCCCTCAGGGTCGGGACGAACGAAAAGGGTATGGAAGGAATGGGTACAATGCCCAACAGCAGTTCCTGTTCCTTCTGGACAGGACTTGATGTCCGCGCCGCCGCGGCCTGTTCCTTCTGGACAGGACTCGATGTCCGCGCCGCCGCGGCCAGTGTCCATTTGAGACAGAAGGCCGCCGGCCCAACAGCTGTCGGTCTTGGGCAGCATGTGTTCTTGGGCATAGTGCCCATGTATTCCGTACCCATTGCGGGCGTCCAATCAGTGGGTCGGGACGAAGAGCTGGTCTTGGGGGAACGCCCCAGGGTGAAAGAGCGGGTTCCCTCGGGACCCGCTTGCTGCACGCTGGAGAGGGGTCAGAATCTGGAGTTCGCACGGCTCTCGGGAGGATCGGCATTGTCGGGGAAGTGTAAGGGCCAGCGGAGGAGGGAGAAGGGGAGGAGGAGGAGGAGGAGGAGGAGGAGGAGGAGGAGGAGGAGGAGGAGAGGGAGGGAGGAGGCGGAGGAGGAGGAGGAGGAGGAGGAGGAGGAGGAGGAGGAGGAGGAGGAGAGGGAGGAGGAGGCGAGGGAGGAGGAGGCGGAGGGCGCGGACAGGGCGGTTCGCGTCCCCCTCGCCCACCCCCCTCGCTCCCGACCGCCGCCCCGCGGCCGCCGCCCAGGTGTGCGTCGCCTTCCTCGTGCCTGGCCTGGTCCTCGACAGGCCCTGGAAGCTGGCCCTGGCGTGCGGCGGCGCGCTGGCCCTCAGCGCCTGCGTGGAGCTGACCTCCCTCTGCCGCCAGCGGCCGCGCTGGGGGGGGGGCCAACCTGGAACATTCGGGGGTGGACAGAACCCCCAACAGTGACACGTCGATTAGTGAATTGTCCGTTTTCGGTTCTCGAGAGGGCGCCGTGGCCGTTATGTTCCAGGCTTGCGCCCGCCAGGTTTGGGCCTCAGGTCGTTTTCACTAAACCACGTTTTGCTAAAGGGATGTCTGTCCATCCCCGACTATCCCTATGCTGGGCATCTCCTCATCACGATGCCAATCTCAGGGATGCCCTTATTTTTTGGGGGCGCATCCCTGAGATTGGCATCGCCTCTGGCGTGTCAATCTTAGGGACAGGGACAAGTTCGAGGCTGGTAAGGGGGGGGGACCCACACGGCGGGCCTTCCCTCGCGCCGCGGGGGGGGGGCGTCCCGCTTCGCGAGGCACGGCGCGCGCGCTCGCGGGCGCAGCGCCGCGGGTGGCAGCGGAATCGGCCGGCGACCCAGCGACGACGACGACGACGAGGACGACGAGGACGACGACGACGACGACGACGACGACGACGACGACGACGACGACGACGACGACCGATCCTGGCCAGGCCCATCCTTTGCCGAGGTCAAGGGCGTTCGAGGCCGAACGAATCGCGCTGTGTCAGAAGCCACCGCCTTGGCCATCGCAGCGTGAACCTGCTGCAGAGGGGAAGGGAAGTCGGGGCTCGAGGAGAAGGATTGAGGCTTTGGAGGCCTGTGGTCGGGTCCTCGTTTCGAAGAGACAGTCCCCGCGTTCCCCTGCTCTCCTCTCCTCTCCTCTCCTCTCCTCTCTCCTCTCTCCTCTCCTCTCTCCTCTCCTTTCCTCTCCTCTCCTCTCCTCCTTCCCTCCGCCCTCCTCCCGTCACCCCCCTCACTTTGGCACACCCAGCGCAGCGTTTCGTGGCCCCATGGGGAGCTCCACCAGAGGTCCAGGTGTCGCAGCCCGCATGCGTCTCCCCCACCCCGTACAGCCTCATAGGGAGCTCCACCGAAGGTCCCAGTGGCGCAGCCCGCATGCGTCTCCCCCCCCCCCCAGTGCAGCGTTTTCGTGGCCCCGTAGGCAGATCTACCGACGGTCCCAGGGCCGCAGCCCGCCCGCGTCCACCCCACGGGGACAGTGCTTCGTGGCCCCATGGGGAGCTCCACCGAAGATCCCAGTGGCGCAGCCCGCATGCGTCTCCCCCAAGCAGTACAGCTCGGGGGTGGACAGAACCCCCAACAGTGACACGTCGATTAGTGAATTGTCCGTTTTCGGTTCTCGAGAGGGCGCCGTGGCCGTTATGTTCCAGGCCGGCGCCCGCCAGGTTCGGGCCTCAGGTCGTTTTCATTAAGCCACGTTTTACTAAAGGGAGGTCTGTCCATCCACCAACAGCGTTCCGTGGCCCCATAAGGAGCTCCACCGAGGGTCTCAGTGGCGCAGTCCGCATGTGTCTGTCTCCTCCGCCCGGTACAGCGTCTCGTGGCCCCATAAGCGGGCTCCACCGAAGACGATAGCTACAACTGCGGTATCCACAACTGCATATGGTTCGGTCCTTCGCCAGGCTAATTTTCCAAAGCATCCGGTGGTGTTGGGTCGTCGTTTTGACGAGGCAGCGCCCCGCATCTCCTTCTCCCTCACAACCTCCCATCCCTGCCTCTGCCCTCCGGATATCCATGTCGGCACGCCCCTCAGACGCTTCGTGGTCTCAGAAGGAGCTCCACCGAATGCCCCAAGCATTCCACCCCCGCACCCATCTCGGCACACTGCTCACACGCTTCGTGGCCCCATAGGGAGCTCCACCGAAGGCCCCAGTGGGAGGGTCCGCATGCCACCACCACACCCAATTCGGCACACCCCTCACTCGCGTCGTGGCCCTAAAAGGAGCTTCACCCAAGGCCCCACTGGGAGGGTCCGCATGCTTCAGGCCCCCATAGGGTGCCAGTCCGTCCCTTTCTTCGACCCTCTCCTTCTACTCTCTTGCCTCTCGGCACTCACTTAAGGAAAAACCAGCCCTACCCCACCCCTCGCGTTTGCTGAACAGTCCTAGGCGAGTGCTACATGGCCCTTACTTGTTTTAGTCGTGGTTTGGATGGGTTTGCTAAGTCGACTTGGCTTGCAGAGTTGTTGTACCTGGGGGACCCCCTCTACGCTATGAGGGTGGCCTGGCCGACCCTACGGGCCACCCTCACTGCCCCAGGCTCGCTGCCCCATCCGTTCTCTCTTCCCTTGGCTCAGGGGCTGCGTTAAATTCAGGGGGAGTACGACGAAGAGGGAGGGGGCCAGTACCGAGGGTTCGGCATACGTGTTGAATGGCACGCGAGCAGATGTGAACACACGGTATTAACTTGATTATTGCTGGTGTTGCTGGTGTTGCTGGTGTTGGCGGTGATGATGATGATGATGATGATGATGATGATGATGATGATGATGATGATGATGATGAGGATGAGGATGAGGATGAGGATGATGATGATGATGATGATGATGATGCTGATGATGATGATGATGATGATGATGATATTGCTGATGATGATGTTGTTGTTGCTGCTGGTGTTGCTGTTGTTGTGGTTGTTGTGGTTGTTGTTGTCGTCCCACTCGCGACGGGGCCCGCGGCCCACCCGCGACCCGCCTGCAACCCACCCGCGACCCACCCGCGACCCACCCGCGACCCACTTGCGACCCACCCGCGACCCACCCGCGACCCACCCCGCGACCCGCCAGCGACCCACCCGCGATCCACCCCGCGACCCACCCCGCGACCGCCCCTTCACCGTTGTCCGCGTTGCGGGGTGCGACATGAACAAAAGACTACATACGTATCCCATAGGGACGTGGACGATTCTCGCCTCCTGGGGCATTCTCGGGGGTCGTCTTGGAGGCCTTGCTGCCCGTCTTGAAGCCCTCTTGGACCCTCGTGGGACTAGCCAGGGTTCTTTCGACGCTCTCGTGGGCTGTCTTGGCACTCTGTCTAGGCTCTCTGCGGCCGTCTTGGGGCTTTTCGGAGGCTCTGCGGGCCTCAGGGGCGCTGTTGCGATTTCGTACCCCCCGCTTGAACAGGGTCTTGGACTTCATGGGAGGGGGAAAAGGGAAGGGGAACGGCCAACTGTTTCACACGCCCTTTCACCCCTGGCAAGCGGGGTCGGCAGATTCGCTCTTCATTGCTTTATTCACCACCTTTTTTTCCCATCTCATGTTTCTAGTGAGCCCCTCTTTCTCTATTTCTCTGTCTCTATCTCTTGCTCTCCCTCTCTCTCTCTCTCTTTCATTTTTGTTGTTCCTCTCTCTCTCTCCATATATATATATAGAGAGATATATATAATGCCAGAGTGCTGGGGCACGGGCCCCTGTGGCGCACCCTCTCGGGTTTCCGCTTGTTTGTTGTTTCCCTTCGTGCCCCACCCCTCCTCCCCCCCTCCAGAGCCTCCTGAGCCTCCCCCTGGCCACCCTGACCGCCCAAAACACCTTCAGGGACACGAATGGGTGACGAAAGCGGCGCAATTTGGCCCACGACGCCCCGAGATGGCTTCAAGATGGCCGAAGAGCTTCCAAGATGCCTCCAAGACGCCCCAGGAGGGCTCCAAGATGCTCGCCAAGAGGGCTCCGGATGGCTAAAAATATCACATTCCCATGGGAAAAACATTATGTTCAGCATATTTGGTTGTCAGGTCATCACAGCGCCCAGGACGGCTCAAGAGGCCCCGAAGCTCGCCCCGAGACAGCTCAAAAGTGCCCCCCAGAGAGCTCCAAGACTGCCCAAGAGAGCCCCAAGACGGTCGAAGAGGCACACAGGACGGCCCAGGATGGCCCCAAGAGGGGCCAAAGAGGGAGAGAACTCCAGCTCACATGTCGAGCCCTCCGCCCCAAATTGACTTCCCAGACCGCCAGCCGGCTTCCAAGAGGCCCCCACGAGGCTCGCGAGTGGCCTCAAGAGGCCCCCAAACAGCCCTCAAGAGGCCCCAAGAGGCTTCAAGACTGGCTCCCAGGGGCGCCTGAGAATCATACCAGGAGACCAGGAGACCCCAACGGGTATCCAAGAAGCCTCTGACCCACCACCCAGGCACGGTGGCAGTACGAGCCGCGAGCGGACAGGCGATCGTAAAGATGGATCGAGGCGGCGTGGAGTAGCGCCGGATTTCCTCCGCCGAACGAGGCGGCACTGGCCGCATTTTGGGGAGGCCGCCTCCCCCGATCCATGGATTTGGCGACCGCGCACCAAATCCATGGATCGCTAATCCATGTTTGCGCGCCCCCGAAAGATTGAAGCCTTGGTGTCCCGAGGCGCCCTGCCCGGCCGCAAGACGCGGTCAAGGTCGGGTCTTGGGGGGGGGGTCCAGGTTGAAGCCACAGTGTCCCAAGGCGCCCCCCTGGCCGCGAGACGTGGTCAAGGGGGGGTGCCCGGGACGCGTTCTAGAGGATCCCGGAGCGAGGAGCGAGGAGGCTGGTTGGTTCTCTTGATTTCCGCTCGAGTCTCCACCCTTCTCTCCTCGGGCATCCCCCCGTTGTGTCCTGAGGCGCCCCCCCACGGTCGCGAGACGCGGTCCAGGGAGGCGGGGCCCGGGAGGCGCTCAAAGTTGAAACCGTGGTTTCCCGAGGCGCCCCCCCCCCCGCCGCGAGAAGCGGTCAGGTACCCGTGGCGCGCTCAAGGTTGGAGCCGTGGGGTCCCGAGCCCCCCCCTTGGCCGCGAGACGCGGTCGGGAACTGGGGGGCGCTCCAGGTTGAAGCCGTGGTGTCCCGAGGCGCTCCCCCCCGCCGCGAGAAGCGTTCAAATGGGGGTGCCCACGGGACGCTCAAGGTTGGAGCCGTGGTGTCCCGAGGCGCCCCCCCCCGCCGCCAAACGACGTCAACGGGGGTTGCACGGGGGGCGCTCAAGGTTGAAGCGATTGGTGTTCCGAGGCGCCCCCCGCCGCGAAGCGGGGGGCGCACGGGAGGTTTCACGCACGTAGTATCCTTGACGCCGGTCGGCATATTTTTCAACATGTGAGATTATTATTTGCGACGTGGGGTTATAGCCAATGTTTGACAGGTGGAGATGGAGAAGTGATTGAATATTCTGTTCGAGGAGTATGCCCAAAGCAGTACATTGTCGTTTGGAATGGGGATGCAGGCGGCTATCCCGCACCGACCTCTCTTAAAAACCTTCGTGGACAAGCTTCGTTGCGGGGTTTATTTTCAGGTGGCGCTCATTGGTTGCTGCATCCAGCGAAGCCGCCGTCAATTTGTAGATCTGCCTTTGGCGCTGCGTGGCTCGCACTGGCGGCGCAACATTTGAACGAGTGTAGCCGTGAGGTTTCTTGCGACGCATAAATATGACAGGGCTCAGCGGTTACCAGAGATCCTTGAGCAATATAAAGGCGATGTCCGTACCCAAATCTCGACGTCGTATCCGATTAACCGCTCATGCCAAACTCGCGCATTCCTTGCGTCACATAACGAACATTACACTAGAGAAGAACCCCGATCAGTGGATGGTTTTCGCTGAGGAGATCGACCGGGGACCCAGGAACCCAGGAACCCCGAACCCGCCGAAATCGCCCCGGAACCAATCACCGGGAACCCGGGAATTCGGAGCCGGGAACCGGGGAACCCAGCCTGCCACCAAAATCGGCGGGGATTTTTCGCCAGATCTGTCAACCCCCGCTAGAACCCCTTCAATGCAAGCGCTGACTGGGGAATGATAACACGAGTTGTGTCGTTGCCGACTTCGCCTGGAGATTTTCGCTGCTTCGCCGTGACAAAAACAAAAAGAGGGCCCCGCGGGAGGCCCAAAGATGGTCCCGCGACTGTGCCGCGAGGGGTCTCGGGGGCAGCAGCTCGGAGGGCGCGGCCCCCAACAGGCCTCCAAGAGACTCAGGGGGTGGACAAAAACACAGACGCAATGAATCGTCGAGTCCCAGAACCATTCAGGAAACAATGGGAAGTGTGGGGGGAGGGACAAAAACACAGAAAGCATTAGAACATATGGGAATCGGGTTATTTGTGTGTACTTATGTGTGTGTGTGTGTGTGTGTGTGTGTCCCAGGGCCCCTGCAAAGACCTCCGTTGAGGCCCCCGAAGAGTTCAAGAAACCACATCACCTCCCGCGCGGCCCCGAAAAAGACGCCGAGAGGGCCCCCAAGACGCGCCGCAGAGGCTTCGAGGGGGGTCATGCCAATCACGCCGCCGACAGGCGTCCAGGGCGGCCGCAAGACGCCTCTATCGGGGGAGCGTAAGACCCAGGTTTGCCAGGACTCGGGTTCGCCATCGTTTTTTGACGACCGCGACTCGGATTTTGACGAGTAGGAGTTTCGTGGGATGTCTGCAGCCGGAGGCCTTGTCAAAATGCAGGCTCGGCCTCGTCATTTTTTGACGACCTTGTCGGGGATTTCCGAGTCCCCTGTACCCAGGTCTTACGTCCCCCTGGCTCTAACGAATGATCCATGTCAAGGGTTTGCCGATGCGGCCGTCGGTTTGGCGGCACGATCTGTGTGAAGAGTGAGCCGAAATACGCGGGGGGGCGCTATGCGAATCTTCCCACTAGGGCAGGATGGGCGGAGGGACGCGCGCGAAGTTCGTCCTTGGCACTGTAAGAAGAGCTCCCAGGGGGGGTGGGGGCGCGATTCGTGCGAGGGGCGTGCCAAGATTGGCGGGGCAATGCTATGTGATCCGCGTGGTTGATATTTTTTCACCTCGGCTTCAAAACATGTGTAGGTCACTACTTCACTCAAGGGCTGCGGCGTGCTAAAGCCTGGGGTGTGTTTCTTGCCGCCGCCGCCGGCGCGGTGCCACTGCTGGCTCCGTTTCGCCGCGGGCGTTTCGGTGCGAGTTTGGTGCCGCGCGCGCCAGGATCCACCCCTGCCAGGCGCACAAGGGGCTTCTTGGAGTCAACTTCGGCATCTCCGTGCGGCGCCCTTTACGCTATTCTTGGCGCTGCTCGTGAGCCCTCACGGCTTGCATTTTGGGCTGAGGTGTCGTTTCTTTGGGCCCTCTCGTTCTGACGCCATCGTTTGGTTTTCTTGGAGCGCCTTTTTGGGCCCCCCTTGGAGGCCCTTGGAGCATCTTTCGGGGAGCGCATTGACTGTTCTTGGGTGCCCTTTGGCCTTGTCATGGGCTCTCCTTGGGATGCTCTTGGTCTTTTTCTAGGGCGGCTCGTCCCTGGGATATCTGGGTTCCCAGAGTCATGTTCGGTAGGTTGCATTATGTTGCATTATGTTGTATTGGGGTTCGTTGGGTTGTTTCCCGTTGCGTGTGCAATTGCATTGCTGCGTGATCCACATTTTACTGGCGAGCGTTGCTCTACGTTGCTTTGCTGTGCATGGCGTTGCATGTCATTGAGTTGCTGTGCATGTGTTGTGTTAAAATGCGTTTGTAACGCTTCGAGCCGCATTGGACCCGCATCTGGTTCGATTCCACGGCAATGCTTTGGACTGCGCTGAAAGAGTTGCCACCATGTTTGGCAATGGTGCGCTTAGCTGTTCGTTGAATGTATGGGAAATGTCATTGTCAGCAATTCGTATCGGTTCTGCTCGCGTTACAGATGCAGTGCCCCATGATCCAACCATTTGTGGGGAATTACTTCAGCGGCTATGTGAACTTGCCAAGGGCTTGGTGTGACTAAAACCTAAGCGCGCGCGACGCGCGCCTGGTTCTGGTATGCGTACGTATATACATACGTTCAGCTGATTTGATGTGTGAGGGTATACGCTCATTCAGACGTATGATCATTGATGCATATCTACAATTTGATGTGGACATATGTATATGTGTCTCATCATGCGTGTGCGCACGTGTGTATGTATGTCTTCATGCATGTGTGTATGCGTGCGTGATTGGATGTACGTGTTCATGTGTGCATGTATGCATTGCATGCATATGCGCATGGATTGATGTATGTACGTATGTGTATGTATGTGTGTATGTATGTATACACGCATGTATGTATGTATGCAGTTCGATTGAGCAGCTGTAAGTCAGCATGTGTGTATGTACGCATGTATGTATGAATGTATTAATGTAAGCAAGTGTGTAGGCACGTACGTGTGTAGAGGTGTAGGTATGTAGGTATGTAGATACGCATGCATGTTTGTATGTCTGCAAGTATGGACGTACGTACGTATATGTGTGTATGTGGTACACGTATGCATGTATGCATGTATGTACGTGAGCCTTGCCATTCGCCTGGGGCCGACGATGCTGGACAAAAAGGGGAAGAGGAGGGAGAAGGAGGGGAGGTGGACGAGGAGAAGGAGGAGAGGAGGACGGGATGAGGGTAGTCAGAGGAGGGAATGGAGGACGGGGAGCAGGAGGCGCACTGGGCTGGAGCGGCTGTCCCCTCGAAGGCTGCCCGCCGCGCGCCGGAACGACGCTGGCCTCGCGTGCCACGTGGCCAGCTTGGTCCTCGTGTGCCAAGCGGGATGGAGGGAGGGCGATCGACCGATCGAACGTCGGCATGGGCCTCTGGCCGTGCTGCCGTGCTCGTGTGTTCATGGGTGGGGCCGGGTGGCGCGCATGCCACTTACGCCACCAGCGACACCAACCCTCATAGAGAAACAGATGCAGTAACCAGGGCGTGCTGGGAGCGAGGAGGGAGGGGGGGAGGAGGGAAGGAGGGGTGGCGGGACGTTGGGAGGGGGGCCGGAGGCAGGGGCAAGAGAGGGAGGGAGGAGCAGGCATCCACGCCTCCCAGGCGGGGCTGGAGCAGGTGGGGCTGGAGGATCGCGCCGCATCGCCGGTGCATCGGTCGCGTGGCGCGATCTGGAGCCCGTTCTTCTCCAGGCGATCGCAGACATTCGGAAGCTGGGCGAGGGCTGCTGAAGCCGTGGCTGCTAAAACGGCCCTCCCGGAAGGAAAACAGAACTTCCCTGAATGAGGCGCGGCACGCGAAACCGTCAACGGGCTTCTTCCCGGAAGGACGAAGACAATTTCCCCGAGGTCGATTTTAGCAGCCACGGATTTAGCAGCCCTTGCCGGCTTCCGAGACATGGAGCAAGGGGGCGTGGGTTAGCGACGGGTCCCGTTTCCAAGGGAAATCACGGATTTCCGCCGCCGAACGAGATGGCAGCGGCCGCATTTTGGGGAGGCCGCGCGCCAATTCCATGGATCGCCAATCCATGTTTGCGCGCCCCCGACTCCTCCACCTCGCCGTCGCTGCCGCGTCGCCGCTGTCTCGTCGATGCGGCGCGAGCCTCCCGCCCCAGTGTGGAGGCCTCTGGAGGATGTTTCGGGGTTGGCCGGGTGGTTCGCCCACGATGGACGCAGGGTTGGCCAGGGCAATCTTGCGATTAGCCGTTCTTCCCTTGGAATCAGTAGGGAACAAAAACACACAGACGCAATTCATCGTCGATTCCCCGAACATGTGGGGAAATAAATGAAGTGGGGGGGGAAGACAAACACCCAGAAAATATGGGAACATATGGGGAATCTTGTCATCTGTGTGAATTTATTTGCGTGTCCCAGGGCTTCTTCGGATGTATTTGCTCAGATGTCAGAACTCCGCGCGGACCTCTGAGAGTGCATGCTTGTGTTCGAAGGTCGGAGCTCAAACTCTGACTTTGCCCTGGTCCAACATCTGGCCGAATCTGGGTCATTCCCGCTTATTGTCGGGGCACTGAAGAAGGAACCCTTTTCCTTGAGGAGGGGCTCGGTGTTCCTTAATTGTTCCACACCTTGCCCAATGTGTTCCTGAAGTTTTTGGTTGCAAGTCGAAGGTTAACGTATGAAAAAAAAGGAGCTTCGTTCCTTATTTAGGGTTCCTTAGGTCAACGCCCCGACTGTAATCCGGCTCAGTGCCGTCTGACTCGGCTCAATCCCGCTCAATCCAGCCTGATTCCGCGGCCCAATCCGGTGCGGCAGCCCCCCCATGATGGGGCCCAATCCTCCCCAGCCCTTCCGACGAAGTCCTCCCGGCAATGGCACCCTAGCTTGTGTGAAGTAGCTCGTTTTTTGGAAGAAGAGGCAGGAGCAGGGAGCGACGATGGAGGTATGATGTTCCTCGAGGGGGGGGGGTGATGAGGGAGGAGGCGGGGGGAGGGGAGGGGTGGAGGAGAGGAGTGGCGATTCGGCTGCGAATCCTGATACTTCCTTCCTCCCCAGTTATCCCTGTTCATCGTCCTCCTCGTCCTCCTCCCTCGTCCCGCTCGCCTTCTGGGAGCACGACAGGGGTAAACGGATCAATAGAAATGATGAGTAGGAGTTGGTGATGATGATGATGAGGAAGAGTTGAGGATGCAAGAGCAGAAGCAAGAGTACGGTTTTACATATTGTCTCGGGGGGATCTAGAGGGATATTTTGTTGAGGAGGAGGAGGAGGAGGCGGGAGCTGGATGACCTAGTGGAGGATCAGGAGGGGGAGGCTGCAGCAGGGACGGAGCCAGGAGGAGGGGGGCCAGAGGTACTCGGCCATGCTCCTCGTGATGACCTATTGCGGAGGGCTGAGCCAATCCCTGTCAGTCTGAAGCCCGAAGGCGGTGAGGTGAGCGTACGGTGAGGTGAGTTTGGCGCGCCCAGGATTGTTCAATCGATTGCACAGATTACCCCCCGCCAGTGTTGGTGCAGCACGAGGCTGGAACACTCTGCGCACATCAGCACGCACGCGTGTTTGCTCTGCCATGGCGTTGCTCAGGGCGCAGGGTCCAACGCCCCCCCCCACAAGGAACAGCATCGGCGGCCGCGCATAGTGACATCGGGCCTGCGATCGGGGGCGGGCGGGGTGGGGTAGCCGCGTAATCTTGCTCTTGTAGAGGCAGGCCTCCTCCGACGCCGGTTCCTCACACCCTCCTTGCCTATAATAAGGAAGAGGAATATTGGAGGAGGAGGAGGAGGAGGAGGAGGAGGAGTCCGCGGACGACATGTGTGCACAGTATCGCGTTGGCGCCTCTCGAGGCGTCGTTGATCTTCGACCCAGGCGTCGTTGCTATTCGGCCCTCGCAGCTGAGAAGCTATGCACCGTACCGCGCTTTGGTGGGGCCTGCCTGGAGGGAGTCCAAACACAGTATTCACCACCCATCAAACCAACCCAGCCCAACCCTAAGGCCCCAAGGTGCCCTCAAGTCCCAGTGGTAGGGGGCGTCGGGGAACCTTGACAAAAACACGTGGAGCCCGTACTGTACCCCTCCCCCGACCCGAAATTTGGGTCGTCGGGTTGGGTTGGAGTGGTGTGGTAGGTAGCGAGGTACGGTGCACGGACGCCTTTTTCGTAAGGAGCGGTCGCGATGCGTCGGTTTCCAACAGCCTTCCACTGATATCGACAAGAAAATGTCACAAACAAATATTTGTTGGCGCTCCGCGCGGATTTCTGGGATCTGCGCTGGACCCCCTCCCTGGCGCGCGGAGCGCGCCAGGGGCGGCGCCCGAGGCGCCGCCGGAGGGGCCCAGCGCGGATTCGAGACATCCGCGCGGAGCGCCAAAAGTTTATGTTTCTGTATTTTTATGGTTTAGTTTTCTTTTTCTTCTTCTTCTTCTTCTACTACTACTACTAATACTACTACTACATCTACTACTACTACTACTACTACTACTACTACTACTACTACTACTACTACTACTACTACTACTACTACTACTACTACTACTACTACTACTACGTTTTCTTCCTCTTCTTCTATAGTAGTCAAGATCGGTCGGGAGTTCCGTCGCGACGCCCCTCGGCGACGGGCGCGCCGCCCGGCGCGGGCGGGGAGCCCCCGTGCAGCGCCGCCTGGTGCCCGAGGTGCCCCCCGGCGGTCGCCCGGTCGCAACCGTCGCAGGCGAGTTCGGGGCTCCAGAGCTCCTCCTCCTCCTCCTCCTCCTCCTCCTCCTCCTCCTCCTCCAGGCTCCAGGCTCCAGGGCGCTCGCCCGGCGCAACCATCGCCGGGCCCCGGGGCCGTCAAAGGACGACTCAGGATGAAAAACCTGCCTTTGGGGAAAGGGTCTGGACTTCCAGGGGCGCCGTGCTGAAAAAATCAGGACGTCGCATGTCTGGGAAGAGGCGGGGGGGGGGGTCAGTGCAGGCGGGGGTCAGCCAGAGGGCCGGATCTTGCAGGATCCTCCAGGGTCAGGGTCGCATGGGCCCGGTTTGGGGTGCAGGATCCTGCAAGATCTTGCAGGATCCTATGCGTCGAGCCGTCTGGGCGCAGGATCTTGCGGGACGTCGCAGGAGTTTGCAAGGCCTGACTGACCCGGGTTTGCGTTGACCCGGGTTAGTGAGTCCCCGACGAGCGGGGGTGGGGGGTGGGGGGGCCAGCTTTCAGTCGAGCATGTCCTTCTACAGGAGGAATATCCAAGCAAAGTCCAGTAGTAGTTTGGGGATGATTGTCCCACTGTTTTCGTTTGCTTCTAGTAGTTCTTGACTAGTTGTCATGTCTCTTCTAGAACCCCGCTGTAAGAGGACACGCCCGACCTAAGGCAAGTTCGAGGTTCGAGGTGTTCGGGCGTATTCGTGAGTCCTCGGGGCTTTGCCAGCCTCGGGACCCAGGCATGATCGCGCCGTAAAACATTCGGGACGGAGGGTTTTCGCAATGCTCGGCCCTTGGGGGCCCTCGCCGGGCCCTCGGACCGTCAGAAAACGACTCAGGATGAGAAACCGGCCCTGGGGAAAGGGTCGCCCGAGTCGAAGCCGGAGGACAGGCCCACGAAGAGCGGGCGCCCGGCGGGCTCCAGGTCCCTGGTCCTTCGGGCGGGGGAGGAGGAGGAGGAGGAGGGAGGAGGGGAGGGGGAGGGGAGGAGGAGGAGGAGGAGGAGGAGGGGAGGAGGAGGGAGAACGAGGAGGAGGAGGAGGAGGAGGAGGAGGAGGAGGAGGAGGAGGAAGAGGGGGAGGGGGAGGAGGAGAAGGAGGAGGAGGGTCCGGACTTCCGGGGACGCCGTGCCGAAAAAGTCAGGACGTCGCATGTCTGGGGCTGCGCCCCAGCAGCTGCGCCTCGCCGAGGGCGTTCCGGGGGGCCGGATCGTCCAGGAGGGCAGCCAGAGGGCCGAGAGGGCGTCGGAGAGGGCGCAGGCCTGCTCAGAAGGCTGCGCGGCTTCGCAGAAGCCCCCCTGGCCTTCCGAGAAGTGTTCGGTGTCTTCGGGGGGGGCCTCGAAACCGTTTCAGGAGGCACGAGGACTTCCGGGCCTTCTGACAAGGCCCGCCCCGTCTCACTTCCCCCCATGGCGCATCGCCGAAACCGTCGCAGCTGATTTCTCTTCCGCAATCCTCGAGCCACCCCTCCCACAATAGACTTGGTCGATCAGAACATGGGGAAACCAATAATGCCGTAAACATCACTTCTAGATGCTTCGCGTAAGCCACACCAGCCCATCCCGAAACGATGCCCAGAGGTTTCGAGGAGTATGCAGTGAAATACAGGGTTGTGAAGCCGTCATATCCAAAGAGGGGGGAGGATGGAGGAGAAATCGGATGAGGAGGAGAAGGTGGAGGAGGAATGCGAGCAGAACGACCAGAGGCCCCTTGGGTGCCTCTCAGAGTCTCTTCGGACGTCCCTTCAGAGCTTCTCGGAGTACTCGTTGGGCGGCTTGGGGGCTCCTGGTGGTACTGGATGCCTCTTGAAGCGTCTGTAGTGCTTCGGGGAAGCCTCTTGGGACTTCTTGGGGTCTCTTGGAAGCCTCTTAGGGACCTCTTTGGGGCCTCTTGGGCGCCTCTTTGGGCACTATTAGGGGCTTCTCGAGTGCCTTTTGGGCCATCTTGGGGCCATCTTGGAGGTGTTCGATTAAAGAGGGGGGGTCTAATTGGCCACCCTTCCCCCAGGCGGCGTGTTCGATTGAAGATGGGGGGTCAATTACCCCCCCCCCGGGAGGCGTGTTCGATCAAAGAGTGGTGGGGTCTAATTTGCCCCTTTCCCAGGAGGCCAAACTTGGCTCAAAAGCGAAGTCGAATCAATAATTGACCTTCTCGCCGAGGCATTTTTGGACGCCCTGCCACTTCGCCACCCCCCCGTCCAGGTCCAGTGAGCAGGCCGTCTAGCTCATTCCCACCCGTCCTCCCAACATATTAAGTAACTTCCGAGTGTCAGCAGATCGCTTAGGAACGCCACACATGCCATGCGCGCCACGGTTTCCAGATGCACCAGGTACCCTGGAGGCCCAAGCGTGCCGGGTGCGGCACATGCTCCACGGGCACCAACTGTGCCACGTGCTCCAGCCGCATGGTGCGTCGCCCCATTGTTTGGAAACTACCAACTCAGGGGGGAGTGGAGAGGCCGTCCCCCGCCCCGTCGGGGCTTCTGGGCAGTTCGAGGAGAGCCGCCAGAGCGCAGTGGTAGCGGGGCAGAGCGGGGGTTCAGAGGTCGAGGTGGTGGTGGGATCAGTGTTTTGGCGGTGGTAGCCGTGAGAGTAGCAGTTCTGGGGGGGGCCGCGTCGACGAGGCGAAGAAGGAGCAGGCGGATGAGGAGGAGGAGGAGGAGGAGGAGGAGGAGGAGGAGGAGGAGGAGGAGGAGGAGGAGGAGGAGGAGGAGGAGGAGGAGGAGGAGGAGGAGAAGGAGGAGGAGGAGGAGGAGGAGGAGGAAGAGGGGGTGAGGATGATGAGGAGGAGGAGAAGGAGGAGAAGGAGAAGGAGGAGGAGGAGGAGGAGGAGGGAACGGGACAGGGGGGACAGTCGAACGCGGGCCAGGAGACACGGTGTGGCCCCGCCCCACCGTTGGCGATGCAAGAGCGCCACCACGACGGCCGCAGCGACCAGTGGCTGTGCGCTGTGGTGCCCGCAGAGGTCCTCGAGAGTGCTTGCGCGCGCTCGGGCTCTCAGGGCTGTGGACCAGCCGCGCGCCCTCCGAGAACGGGGGAGGCCAGGGAGACACTAGTAAACCCATGCGCATCCGATGGTTCCCCATGATTCCCCGTGCAGCTCATTGATGCGTCTCTGCCCCATCCGTGTGCTCGTGAGTGTCCTTCTCTCCCGATCCAACGCCAGCCCTCACACAGGGCTAGGTCCCCGCCGTGGGCGCGCAGGTGATCGCGCCCCGCCTGTCACAGCCTCGGCCAGAGAGGTGCCCCCCCTCCAGGGACGTCTCGCGAAGGCGCGCAGATGCTCGCGCGCCGCGAAGCGCGGGGCGCGGGGCGTGGAGTGCGGTGACCCGGAGTCGCTGACGAGCAACAGTGGGAAGTGAGACGGGGCGGGCTTGCTTGGAAGGCTCGGAGGCCCCCTGGCCTGCCGAGGAGTGTTTCCCCAAGCAGTGCTTGCACCGAATTCGAGGTCCGAAAACCATCACGTCACTAAATTTGGGCCCCAGGGCCCACTGAGGCCCCAGGGGCCCTAGATTAGTGAAGTGATGTTTCTTCCCACGCAAGGACCCCGAAATTCATCACTTCACTAAACCGAGCCCAGGACGAAAATCAGGGGCCGCATTGCTGCTGTGATGCAACACAGGTCTCGCACCGAAGGAGTCCCAGCGGACACTGAAATATTTGGCGAAAGTTTCCCGCCGATCCTGGGTTCCCGGTCCTGGGTTCCTGGTTTTTGCTGATTGGTTCCGGGCCGATGTCGGTGGGTTCGGGGTTCATGGGTTCCCGGTCGATCTCCTTCTCGATCAAGCCATCCACCGATTGGGGTGTTTCTCTCCCGAAGACGCAGAACACCTCGCAGAAAGCTGGAGGCCTTCTGCCCCGCCGCCTTCTGAGAAGGCCTTCTCCTTCGCACTTCCCCCCCGTCGCTCGCCGCGCGCCCCGCCGCACCCGTCGGGTCGTGAGTTCTGTTGAGGATGCCTGCGCCTCGATCCTCCGGGCGTGCTCGAAGAAGGCGCGCTCCGCCCCTACAGTCGGGGCGCTGAAGCAGGAACCCTTTTCATTGGGGAGGGGCTCGGTGTTCCTTGATTGTTTCAAAGTTTGCCTCGGGTTTTCCCGAGGTTTTCCATGGGAAATCGAGGTTGAACTTATGGGAAAAAGGGGCCTCGTTCCTTATTTCGGGTTCCTTAGGTCAACCCCCCGACTGTAGACGGCTGCGGCCGCAGAGTGCCGAGCGCGCAGCGATGCTTGACGTGGTCACGCGCATGCAAGCGAGGACCAAAGCGGCCAATCCAGGTGGGGTCGGAGGACTGCGCCGCGTCCCCGATGCATCGCCGATGCATCGGCGACGCGGCTCGATGCGGAGCCCGCTGTCTTCCGCATCGGCTTCGCCGATGCACCACCGACGTCGCCGACGCATCGCTGCTGCATCGTCGATGCATCGGCGATGCATCAGCGACGCGGCGGGAGCCTCCGACCACATCAACTCGGACCCCATGCGGGAGGCCTCTGCGCTGGTGGTGGTGGAGCCGAAAAGCTGCCAGGAGGAGGAGGAGGAGGAAGAGGAGGAGGAAGAGGAGGAAGAGGAGGAGGAAGAGGAGGAGGAGGAGGAGGAGCAGGAGAATATGCGCGCGAAATACTGAGGTCTGCGCCTGCAAACCACGAGCGAACAATCCAAATACGCCGGTGCCCCCGCCCATCGGTGGTCGGCGGCCTCGCTGGAGCTCTTCGGGTCCGTGGTCCTCGGGCTGGCGCTCGGCCGCGGCGTGGGCTGGCACGCGTCGCGCCGGGGCCCGGCGCGCGGCGCCGCGGCCGGGGCCACCCCTCGCAGCGTGGTGGAGGGCGTGGCCTCGTTCAGCGCCCTGACGCAGATGGAGACCCACCTGGAGGTCGGCCGCTGCGGCGCTCTGCGTCCTGGCCTCGCCTGGCCCGCCCTGCCCCTCGCCCGCTGCTCTCCCCCCCTGCGTCCTCCAGTCCCCCGGCAGGCTTCGCCCCCCCCCCCCCCCTTCTTCTCGCCCCTTCCCGCCCTCCTCCCCCTCCCCTTCCTCCCTCTCCCCCGTCCTCCCCAATCTCTCCCCTTGCCCTCCTCGTCGTCGTCGCCTCCATCCCTCGCCTCCCTCCGCTCGCGGCCCCGAGAGGGCAGCCCGCCTCGGCCCCGTGGGGGCCCCCCCTCCGCGCGCGCCCGCCCAGCCCGCCGCGCGGCGGGCGGCGGGCGTGACCCGAACTCCTCGGCGGAGGCCGCGCCTGCCTCCGACCGTCCCCCTGCCGTTGCCGCCGTGGTCCTCTGGCCGGCTCCGAGGTTGCCGGCCCCCCCTCCTCCTCCTCCTTCTCCTCCTCCTTCTCCTCCTCCTCCTCCTCCTCCTCCTCCTCCTCACAGCGGGCCGCAGGCGCCCCTGGGGGAGCCGCGCTGCGTGCCGCGCGGCGTGCGCGGACCGCCGCAACCCCCCCGCTGCGCGGCGGGTACGGTTCGGAGCTGTCGGCAGCGCGGCGCTCGAGGCCGATCTGCTGGCGGGGCGGCGGGGGCCGGTTGCCACGAGCCGGAGGCGATGCTACCTGTCAAGCAGTGGCTGAGCGTCCTGGCTTGCCTATAAGCCCACCTTCTATGGTTATGCCTTTTATGGTCTGCAGGACATGCAGCGGCTGCCTTTTATGGTCTGCAGGACATGCTTTAGAACATTACTGGCTGGGACTGCCTTGTTTTAGCACATCGGGCGTCAACCCGTATCATTCGAAGAAGAAAACACGGCATACACACACTTTTGGCGCTCCCCGCGGATTTCTTGGATCCGCGCTGGGCTCCCCCGTCGGCGCCTCCGGCGCCGCCCCTGGCTCGCTCCGCGCGCCAGGGAGCAGGGTCCAGCGCAGATCCAAGAAATCCGCGCGGAGCGCCAAACATTTATGTGGATTCCGTCTTTTTCTTCTTCTGTCCATAAGGACGCACGATGCGGATGCAAGGTCCTCGGGACGACACCTTCCGAGGAGACAAGGATGCAAGGGTAATTACCCTTGGGGAGGCTGCCCATCCTCGCTATGCGGCTTGGCTGTATCACCGAGAACAAAAGAACCCTCAAAAAGGTGTTCCTGCTCTAGCGCGCGGCGCTCTGCTCCTGTCATTGAGAATGACGCTCTTGCCCCAGCGCCGGCCACTTCTCTTGATCCGAGCTAGTTTTTATCGTTGTCGCCCCTCGGATTCCCCCCCCCTCCGACTTCCCCTAGCCGTCCTGCTCCTCCCATTCCCCCTGCTCCAGTTCCTGCTGCTGCTGCTTGTTCTCGCCCTCATCCTTCATCATTATGCTCATCCTCCTGCTCATTCTCCTGCTCATCATCCTGCTCACCCGCAACCTCCTCCTGTGTGCGCAGTTCCCCTTTCCCGATTGTGAGTAATACGATCGGTGCTTTTCTGTTGGAGTTCCAGGTCGGCTATGACACGCGTCCGCAATAAATAAACATCGACGCAATGGGAGAGAAGGGATGGGAGGGATATATAGGATGTCGGACATGGCGCGAGCGCACCTAGCTTGCCTCCTCTTACTCCTCCTCCTCCTTCTCCCTCGTCCTTCTCCCTCGTCCTCCACGTGCGCTCTGGAGGCGACCTCCTCCTCCTCCTCCTTCCCTTTCCTCATCCTGCGTCCCCCTTTATTCTCATCGCTCCCTTCGGCTCCCTGCTTGAGGTCACCCTGGACGTGGAAGGCATGGTGTGCCCAGCCTGCGTCGCGAAGGCCCCCCGGGAGCCCCCCCCCAAAGGGGGGCCTGCGACGCCGGCAAGTCCCCGCATCGCGGGCCGGGCCACCGTCCCGCGAGGCCGACTGGCTCAACGGGACATTCCTCCTCCTCCTCCTCCTCCTCCTCCTCCTCCTCCTCCTCCTCCTCCTCCTCCTCCCCCTCCACCTCCTCCTCCTTCTTTCTCCTCCTCCTCCTCCTCCTCCTCCTCCTCCTCCTCCTCCTCCCCTTCCTCCTCCTCCTCCTCATCCTTCTCCTCCTCCTCCCCCTCCCCCTCCTCCTGCTCCTCCTCCCCGTTCTCCTCCTCCTCCTGTTCGTTTGGATTCCGGGAACAGGCAATGGCACGAACTTATTGTTTCGGAGGTCCGCGCGGATATCCTGGATCGGCGCCAGGCCCGTCCCTGGCTGGCTGAGCGCGCTGGAGGCGTCGCCAGGGGCGTCCAGCGCCGATGCAAGAAATCCGCGCGGACATCCGAACATGTAGATGTTTATGCCATTTAGTGGCTCCCCATTGGAGGAATGAACTCCCCACCCGCCTCGCAAACGTCGCGCACCACGGCCGCGAGGCCCTAATGGTCCCTGTGCTCTCTGGGTATCTCGCCTCGCGTCTATGACCAATGACGACCGCCTCGCTTCCTCGGGTGGCGATCGCTCGAAAGAGAATGTGTTGTTGCTGTTGTTGTTGTTGTTGCTGTTGGTGTTGTTGTTGTTGATGTTGTGTTGTTGTTGTTGGTGGTATTGTTCTTGTTATGTTGTTGTTGTTGTTGGTGGTGTTGGTGGTGTTGCTGTTGTGTTTGTTATTGTTGTGTTGTGGTTGTTGTTGTTGTTGCTGGTGCTGATAATGTTGTTGTTGCTGGTGTTGCTGTTGCTGTTGCTGTTGCTGTTGGTGTGTTGTTGGTGTTGGTGTTGTTGCTGCTGTTGTTGTTGCTGTTGCTGTTGTTGTTGGTGTTGGTATTGTTGTTGTTGTTGGTGTTGTTGTTGTGATTGTTGTTGTTGATGTGTTGTTGTGGTTGTTGCTGGCGTTGTTGTAGTTGTTGTAGTTGTTGTTGTAGTAGTTGTTGTAGCTGTTGTTGTTGCTGATGCTGTTGTTGTTGTTGTTGTTGTTGTTGTTGTTGTTGTTGTTGTTGTTGTTGTGTTGTTTCTTGGATGGGGGAAATTTGAACTCCGCGCATACCTCGTCTAGGTTAGGATCCGGCTGCCGCAAGACCCTGAGAAGACGGCACCCATCCCCACCCATGGGGGGCATGAGGCCCGCCCGAGGGACCAACGTTTCCCTGACGGTTTGGGGGCACCGTTTTTTTGTTATGCAATCCCTTCTCCCCAAGTGAAAAGAGAGGAGGGCCAGTCGACGCATCGCCCGCCATCCCCCCTCCTCCCTCCCTCCCTCCTCCCCCCCGCTTCCCTGCTGGATTGGTGTGCGCACGGGTACCTGCACGGACGACGACAATGGCAAGCCAACTCGCCTCCTCGCTCCCAGCCTCAGGCCTCCCGATCCAGACTCTGACTCATGCTCACAACGCGTCTGCTCGAGTCAGGAGGGAAATCAACACACATACACAATGAATCGTCGATCCCCAGGAAAATAGGGAAAAACATAGGAAGTGGGAGGGAAGACAAGAACCCAGAACATATGGGAAACTATGGGGAATCCTCTGATTTGTGTGTATTTATTTTTGTGTCCCAGGGCCCATTCACTGAGGGCCCCCCGGGCCCCCCTCCCGCGCCGCCCTCGCAGGGGCCTGTCCTTCCGGACCAGCAGCGCGCCGCTCCCCTCGCCACGCCCCGCCCCCCTCGCTTCCTCCTCCCCCCTCGTGCGGAAGCGTCGCCGATGTCTCGACTCGGCCTTCTCGGAGAGCCCTGTTGTTTTCATGTTACGTCAGACATGTCCCTCTACTGCAGGAGTATCAAAAATTGAGACATAAAACATGTTAATTCTTAAGACGTTGTTTGACCAGCTTCGAGTATGTGTTCGACATGTTTCACTGTTCTTGCAGACCTCGCCTGTAGGAGGACAAGCCCGACCTCTAGTCCTATTGCAAAAAACCGTGGGTGCTCGCGGGCCGCAGGGCCACCAAGCGTGGATCTGGGATAGACAGCTGCCCCTGTGGGGTTGAGGTCGGAGCCGCTGGGGCCGCGCATTGAATGATCGCAACGTCGGATGGCTGGGCCTATTTCCCGTTCCCTCCTGCCCTGCCTCCCTCTTCCCATTCCTCCTAGCTCCATTCCTCCCGTCTCCCTCTCTTCCTGGCCACTTCTCTTTCCTGCAGGGTCACCGGAGGCAAGCGATACAGGCACATCCCGGATTCCTGATCCCCTCCCTCCTCTTCCTCCTCCTCCTCCTCCTCCTCCCCCGCTCCCCTCGAGGTGACGAAGGCGCTGGTCGCGATGGAGGGCGTGGTGAGCGCCGACGTGAGCCTGGAGCTGCACGAGGCGGAGGTCGTGTATCCCCCCGCGGTCGCCGAGCCACCCGTCGGGGGCCGCATAGGGGCCAGCGCGAGCGGGGCTGGGCACACCAAAGGCTCGGGCGGACGGCGGGGGGGCGGCAGAATTGTTTTGGGCATTTCTCTCTACAGGAGGGGTGCTCACGAATCGTATTTAGTCGGGCGTGTCCCCCTACAGGGGATTTTCGGCGAGAAATGAAAAATACCCCCAAAATATTGCCACATGGCAAAAAAGTAAAATAAAAAAAATCGGGTTTTTTCGGCGAAAGATAAACAAATCCCAAATGGCCAAAAAATGCTCCAAACCTAGTCTGCTATTGTTTGATCATTTTTTGATATTTGTTTGGGTACTTTCTATCTTTTGTCGAAAATCCCCCTGTAGGGGGACAGGCCCGACTTAAGACGAGTAGATGGTCTGGGGGCGACAGACAGACAGACAGAGGCCCGATCAAACCACATGGGGTGGCCCGTAAGCGGGCGAGGCTACAGCGCAGTGGCCTGAACAAGCAAGCGCGCAACGGAGAGCAAACGTTGTGCCTCCGAGGGGGAGGGGGGGGAAGGGAGGAGAAGAGCTGGGGCGGTCCTCACGCGTGAATGCAATACTCGACAAACGCGTGCAATACTCGAGTGCGGGGGCGATCTTCCGATGATCTTTGAAAGTTCATGTGTTTGTGAAATTTAATGTGTCCTCAGATTATCTTTCAAAGTTCGTGTTTTTTTGCGAAATTTAAGTTGTCCTCCAAAGTCCGCCTGTAGGAAAACATGCCCGACCTGAACCTGCAGAGGTTCTGCACGGCCCTCGATCCCTCGGCTGCCGCCGCGGGCCCGACAGGGGCACAAGATGTGCACGTTGCTGCACCCACGTGTTCGGAGGAGGAGCAGGTACCCCTACAGGAGGAAGACTCAAGACTAGTAGGACAATGGCACGGCTGAAAGCGTGCAAGCGGGGCTGGCTACGCAGACAGACTCAGGCGAGAGCCTGACAAGTAAAGCCTCGGGCACATCCCACACGGGAATGCCGCACGAGGAAGGGACAGGAGGCTAGCCCGACACGGCGCAATCGTCCTCGACCACGACCAGGCCCCCGTAGGTGGCGTCGAGGACTTATTCGCCGAATGGGCGAGGCCTCAGCTGTCCCTGCACAGACGACAGCAGTGGCTGCCCAGTGCGAGGGTGCAGGCCCTCCCAGAGACGGGCGATGCTCCTTCTATGTTTGGCTATTCCTGAGTAGTGTTGCGCTCTTTTTCCAATTCTTCTTCCAGAATCTGCCTGCATCAGAGCGTGAATGACCTACCCCGCTTTCGCTTCCAGGCAAGACCAAGTCATACCACGCGCCTCCTCGTCAAGCGGCCTGACCAGTACAGGCCGTAGTTTGTCATCGCTTGGTATCTCTTGGAAGCGAGGGTGGTCAAAAGCGAGGTAGGTTAGTTTGCCCCTTACTGTAGGAGGACGTGCCCGAGCTAATGCTGCACGGCCCATCAGTTCCTCGGTTGCCGCCGGGGGCCCAACAGGTGCACGCAAGGTGCACGCGCGTTGTCTCGCCCACGTCTTCGGACGAGGAAACGGCACCGATGCCGCTGCCCTTCCCTCGTTTTCCATCTCCTGGGCCTCCTGAGAGTCCCTCGTCGCCACCGTCGCCTTCGCTTCGAAGTCCTGGTCAGAACGCACCCCTGTAGGTCTGGAGATTAACAGTATCGGTACCTGTTGCTTTCCCTGCGTTCGGTGCCCTCGCAGTTAGCTCGGAGGTTGAAGGACCTCCTACTTGACACGCCGATTCAGGAATTGGCCGTTTTCGGTTCGCGAGAGGGCGTCGCGGCCGTCATTTTTGCGGGTCCAGGCCCGTCGGTTTCGGCCCTAGGCAGTTTTCATTAAAGGGTGGTTTGCTAAAGGGAGGTCTGTCCACCGCCGATTCACGAACACCCGAAGCGGGCAGGTTCCCCGGAGGCTGTGGGGGCCTGCGTGCCCAGGCCCCTCATCAGAAGGCGAGGCTGTTCCCGACTATCCCGTGTGTCGGGTCCTTGTAACTCTTCGACGTTTGAGCGTCTTTGCTTCCTCTCAGCCGTCCCCGCCTCCTCTCTGTTCGCCGGCCAATTCGCCAGTTAGTGCCTCTATCTAACTTCTCGCTGGAGCGGGGTTCGCCGCCTCGCCGGTGACGAAAAAGTGTCGGGTCCTCGTTTTGAATCCGCAGCGCCGCGCGTCTCTTCCTCCTCCTCCTACTCCTCCTCGTCCTCCTCGTCCTCCTCCCCCTCCTCCTTCTTCTCCTACCTCCTCCTCCCCCTCCTCCTCCTCCTCCGCGCGTCTGTGCCCCCATGGGGAGCTCCACCGAAAGCCCCAGCGGCTACGTCCCCATTGGCGTCCAGCCCCATGTCGCAACAGCCCTCACGCGCTTCGTGGCCTTGTGGGGTGCTCGCCGAGGGCCCCAGTGGCTGCGTCCGCATGGCGTCCAGCCCTACGTCGCCACCACACCCCTCGCGCGCTCCGTGGCCATATGGGGAGCTCGCCGAAGGCCCCAGTGGCTGCGTCCGCATGGTGCCCCGCCCCATTCGGCACCCCTCACACATCAGGGGACCCCATAGGGAGTTCCGCCGAAGGCTCCAGTGTCCGCGTTCGCATGGTGCCGGGCCCCGCCCCAATTCGGTACACCTCACAAACTCCGTGGCCCCATTGTGAGCTCCACCGCAGGCCCTAGCGGCTGCGCTCGCATGGGGCCCCACCAAGTTTGGGCACACCCCTCACACGTTCATGGTGGTTTGACGCTTTGGGCGAAGCCTTCGGGGGCACCAGACGCCTCTTGCAGCACTATTCCTGCGCGATGGTTGCAGCATCGCGAAGAATGGCAACCGGAGCCCTGGACACCCTCGGTCTGCCTCAGTTTTCGAGCTGGATCGAACTGTGAGGGCCCCTGGGCCCAAAGCCAGGCGAGAGCGCCCGCTGTGAAACAAGCTGTGGGGGCCTGCGGCCCTCCGTGGCGGCCGCGCCGACCGCGGGTCGATCAGCCCTTCGTGCTGTCGCGGGACCTCTGCGACGCCGTGCGCGGCGCGGGCTACGCGGCGGACGTCCAGGCGGGCCAGTCTGTGAGCCGCGCGCCCTCGTCGCCCGCGGCCGCGCGCAGCGCGGCCCCTGGGCCGGGTTGAGGCGGCGGGCTGGGGCCTCTTGCAGGGTCAGGACGAAGACAAAAGGCACAGGCACGAGTCATCGTCGGTGCCCCCAGGGAAAGACAGGGATACATGGGAAGTGGGGGAGAAGACGGAAATGATAGAACATGTGGGGGAAATATGAGGGGTCCCGGGATCTGTTGGTATTTGTGTTATGTGCGTGTGCGTGTGTCTGTGTGTTATGTGCGTGTGCGTGTGTCTGTGTGTGTGTGTGTGTGCGTGCGTGTGTGTGTGTGTGTGTGTGTGTGTGTGTGTGTGTGTACGTGTGTCTGTGTGTGTGTGTGTCGTGGCGCCTTTGGCAACGACGAAGTCTGGGCCTCTCAGAGATGCGGCCCCTGCGGGCAAACGTTCGACGGTCGGGCCGGGCCGTAGCATCGAGGCAGGTTCGGGGATGGTGCCCTCTCATGCTCTTTGTGCTTTCTGTTGGATGGTAGTGTGCATCTTGGGGGAGGGTAGCTCGACCGTGCTTCGGTTTGGCTGGCGGAAGGTCCCCTGTTCTGGAAGGGTGTTGTCATGTCCTAGGTCCGGCCGTAGTTCTGCCCAGTGCGTTTTGGAATGTCTTCTTGGGAGGGGTGCCGCAACGCCGAGGAGAACTGGACATAGATAAAAGGCAAGCTTCAGGGGTCAGCTCTTCATTAGTATCCTGTGCACCTCGAGTTTCCGAGGAAGGGTCTGGACGCCCGAAATGGGTACGGAAAGAATGAGTGCGATGCCCAACAGCAGTTCCTGTTCATTTTGAACAGGACTCGCTGTCCGCGCCGCCGCGGCCTGTGTCCATTTGAGACAGAAGGCCGCCCGCCCAACAGCGGTCGCTGTTGGTTTGGGACAGCATTTGTTGTTGGGCAGTGTACCCGCTTTTTCAGTACCCATTTCGGGCGTCCAAAAAGGGAGCCCGAAGCTCCAAGTTGCAATGGCATGGACGCAAGTCTTGCTCGCACTTCCAGGTGCTCTCGCGTCGTGGGGAAGTCAGGGCGGGAGGCTTTCCGCGGTATTCGGCTTCCGGGGGCTCTCGCCGGGCCTCGGACAATGTAAAGACGATTCAGGAGGAACCGTGGGAGTTCGGGGAGCAAGCATCCACATGCGTATGAATTTCCGAAGGTCCGCGCCGATGTTTTAGAACACATCGAGCTGGAGTCGGCGATGCATCGTCGATGGATCGGCGATAGGTCCCAAGACACCTCAGAACGGGTCCAGGTGGGCATGGGCGATCTGTGTCCCTCTGGAGTCGGGCTTGGGGTCCCAGGCGTCTTGGGCCGCTTGCAGCTTTCAGCATCCAACTTGGCATCGGTCGGACGCGTGAAGTTTTTCTCGGTGAGGACCATCGAGAAACATCTTGGATCATCGTGCGAAAGATTAAACGCACGAAGCCGAAAAATGCACGGGGAATGGACGTCCGAGCGAGGGCGAGACAAGGTTTCAAACCAGTCCCTGGGACTGTCAGCGACGGTCGCCGGGAAGGGGTCCATACCTTTAGGGGTCACCGTCGTGGACAAGTCATGACGTCGGGATCTGGGTCCGTCGTCGCCGTCGCCTTTCGCCATCCTCTCTTCCCACCCTCCGAGGGATCGGGGAAAATGAGCGCTCGAGCTTGCTGGAGCTGGGTCTGCTTGTTCGCGAGATGCTTGCAGCGGGAGTCAGCGTTAAGTTTCAGATTAGTTTCCGCCATTTTTCAGACCAGCCCGTGGGTCAAATTCGAATCCCGAGTTTGGGAGTCGTACGTCTCCCCGAAGTGCAAAGCCCGTCTGTCTTTGTCTTCCTCTCCCTTTGTTTGCTTCAATGCCTAGACGCTTGGACCTCCTGGTTGTTGGCCTCTGAGGTAGTCTGGGACTTTTTAGGGGCCTCATCCAGTAGCGTTTTCATAAGTGCGCCCGGGAACGAGAGAAGGCGAACGAGGAGGAGGAGGAGGAGAAGGAGGAGGACCAGTGTAAACCCAAGAATCATCAACGATGTTGGAGTAAACCCTCCCTCCAAGCTCCCTCGTCATAGGTCCCTACAACGATTCATTTCTATTGATGGAACTGCCTCGTTGGAAGACACCCGTTTGAAGACCCTGAAGCATGCCGAAACATTGTTCTCGGGATTCCAACGCCCCGGATCGACCTGACTCTTGCGTCTTGGCAATCCTAAATCATGCCAGAGCGCCATTCCTAGGACTGCAACACTGACCCGCGTAATCCCGAATCCTTCCAACCAGCAATCCCTGGTACGCTGATGAGGGGAACCCGTGCAACTCTTGAACAGTTTGTAAACGAATGCGCGCGGCGCTAAGTCGAGAGCCGCAGTTTGAAAGCGAGCCGCCCTCAATTCGTGACACTCCTGCAATTTGTGTTGAAACGACTGTGCGCCGCGCTGGAGAGAGCCATGTCTTGAAAGCGGCCCGCCTCCATCCGTGAAGCTCTGGCATGTGTGTCAAACGGATGTGCGCCGCGCTCAGGCGAGAACCGCAGTTTGGGAAACGGCCCCGCCTTCCATCCGTGAGGCACTGGCGTATTTTGTGAAACGAATGTGCGCTGCGCGAAGTCGAGCGCCACATGTTGAAAACGGCCCGCCCTCCATCTGTGAAGCGGCTGCCACTTGTGAAGCTTCAGAGTCAAAAGTGGTGAGGAAGTCTCAGGCGAAACGCCCAGCTCGCCCTAAAAACTGGCCTCGGGGCGCGACAGGGAGAGGCTACTTACAAGGAACAGAAATGGAGGAGGCGGAGGTGGAGGAGGAGGAAGGAGGAGGAGGAGAAGAGGAACGATGACAGGAAGATGAAGAGGAGGGCGGAGGGGATGATGAGTATGAGCGAAGAGGCGGTAAGAGGTGGAGGACGAGCGAGGAGATGGTCCTTCTCCTGGTCCCTTTTACGTTGCTTCCTCACCCTTGCGAATTTTACCGGTCATCTTCGTCATCATTCCCCATACCTCGTTTTCTTCCTTATCCTTTGACATCTACCCATCAGATACGCACGAGGAAGGGCAGAGTGGTCCCATTTGCCGCTCCTCGTACGTATTCGCCATCCTCCTCACCGTTCTCCTCCTTGTCCTTCCTCATTTTCGTCGTCATCCTTCTTCCCTTTCCTCCTCCTGTCTCCACCCACTCGTTCTTTTCGCCGTTCTCGTTCTCACCCTCGCCTCCTCGCCTTTTCTGCGCACATCTTTCCGCCCATTGCCTCCTCATTCCCGTCCTCCAGTTCGTCATCCTCCTCCTCCTCGTCCTCCTCCTCCTCCCCAACCCTTTTTTTCCCCTCCTCCTCCTCCTCCTCCTCCCCCCCCATCCCCCGCCGCGGAACTTCCCCCGCCCCCCAGCGGCCCCCCTCTTCCTCATCCGCTTTCTCAGCGTGTCCCCGGTTCCGTCCAGTTCGTTTCGGTTCGGGAGAACCTGGTTCGGTTCAATACGGCTCCGGTTTCGGAGCTGTTTGAGGTGGTTCCCATTCAGAGGGCGGTTCCGTTTCAGCCGGTTCCATTTCGGTTTTCGGTTTTTGCAGATGACGTGTGTGCGTGTGCGGCTACATGATCATATGGAGGCGTTTGGAGGTTCAGTTTCACCAGGGGTCATGAGGAACCCTGGGGTCAGGGCAGCCACTGGGCCCAGCTACCCGACGAGCCAGGGGAGCTACTGGGCCCAGGCGTTACGCATGGTGCCCTCGACGGACCAGTCGACAGCATCGTGCCCCCTGGACCAGGGGGCTTTGGCGACAGCGGGCGATTCCGCAGCGCCGCGCAGGATGGCGGGTGCCCAGCCCCGGCCGCCGTCCCCGAGTCGGCCCTGGAGGCTCCGAGGACCCCTGGAAGCCCAAAGCGCATTTTCGAACCGATCAAAAATGCGATTTGAGCTTTCCCGCCGCCCTTCCGTCCCCAGAGCAGCCCTGGAGGTTCCGAAAACCACCTGGAGGCCCAACGCGCATTTTCGATCCGTCCAAAAATGCGATTTGCGCTTTTCCGCCGCCCTGCCATCCCCAGAGCAGCTTTGGAGGCTCCGACAAGCACCTGGAAAGCCCAAAGCGTATTTCCGAACCGTCCAAAAATGCGATTTACGCTTTTCCGCCGCCCTTCCGTCCCCAGTTCGGCCCTGGACAAGCAGCGAAACAGGACGAGGGAACTCGGGGGCGCAGGGGAGGAATTGGGAGCGGGTAGGATGGACCTAGCGCAAGAGTGGGCGTTCGCATCTGGCAGTTCCCAAGGGTTCACCTCCACGGCCAATTCCCGATTCGGTTCCCGGTTCGGGCCCGGTTCGGTTCCACCGCCTCCGGTTCGGTTCGGTTTCAGTTCGCGTCGGGTTTCTGACGGGTTCCGGTTCGGTCGGTTCTCCTTCGGTCGGTTCGGTTCTGTGGTTCGCGGTTCGTTTCTGTGGTTCATTGTTTGATCCCGCTGTCCCCCTCGCTGGCCGTTGGTCCTCGTCTGCCGCTTCACGGGACCCCCCCCTCTGTGCCATTCTTTGGTCTCTCGTTTTCTTGATCCTCCTCGCGTTTATTTTTTCTCATCCACCAGCTCCCCCACCTGCACCCTTTTTGCCGCTCTCCACTCGCCTTCCCTGTTGCGCCTGCCTGGCGGCCGCTTCCCTCGTCCTCCGCGTCGCCTGCCCCTCTTCTTCCTCCTGGCCCCTGCTGGCTTGTCTTCCCTCTGCCCCGTTCCGCCCGCCCACCCTGTCAGCCCTGGCCCCCTCCTCCTCGTCCTCCTAGTCCTCCTCCTCCTCCTCCTCCTCGTTTTCCTCTTCCTCCTCCTCCTCCTCTTCCTCCTCCTCCTCCTCCTCCTCCGCCTCGTCGCGCTCGTCGTCGTCGTGTGCGGTCGGTTCGCCCCCCCCTTCTCCCGCCGCCGCCGCGCAGCGCAGCCTGCCGGAGGCTCTGGCAAAAAAGTGGGGCGGGCAGCGCCTCCTCCAGCGTCGCGCAGCAGGGGCGGCTCCCTGCCCCCGCCCCCCCCCCGTCCCCCTCCCGTCCCCTCGGCCTCCCCCCATGTTCCCCCGTCCCCGCCCCCCCGCCCCGCCCACCCCGCCCGCCCCGTCCCCTCCTCCCTCCCCCTCTCCTCGCCGCCCCCTCCTCCCACGGCGCTGGTGCTGCAGCCCCGCTCTGTCCGAAAAAGGGGGGGGGCGGCGCCTCCCGCCGCCGCCTGCGGCCCCTCCGTCCAGACCCGGCTTTGCGCTCGGGGCTTCCCTTCTCCTCCTCCTCCTCCTCCTCCTCCTCCTTTTCCGAAGGGCTTAGGCGACCCATCCTCCTCCTCTCCTCCTCCTCCTCCTCCTCCTCCTCCTTCGCCTCCTCCTCCTCCTCCTCTTCCTTCTCCTCCTCCTGCTCCTCCTCCTCCTCCTCCTGCTCCTCCTCCTCCTCCTCCTCTTCCTCCTCCTCCTCCTCCTCCACCCCCCGCTCCTCCCGCCTCCCAGGTCCGGCCAGAGATGTTCCGCCCTGCGCTCGCGTGCCTCCTCCTGGCGGCGTCCAACGCCGTGTCCACGCACGGCGGCGCGGCCCGCGCGGGCCTGGCGGCAGGACGCCGCCGCGCCCCTCCTGGCCTTGCGCGCGGCCGCGGGAGGGGCCGCGGCCGTGGCCCCCTTCCTCACCGCCTACCAAACCACCCCAACCCAACCCGAAGGCTTCAAATTGCCCTCCATTTCCAGTGGGGGGGAGTTGGGGAACATTGAAAAAACATATGGAATCCGTACCCCCCAACCCGAATTTCTGGTTAAATTCGGGTCTTCGGGTTGGGTTGGGGTGGTCTGGTAGGTAGTCACTTCCGCGGCCACTCTTGGAGCCCCATCGCTAAGTCGGGCCTGACCCTCTACAGAAGGATTGTTTAAACATAGTCAAAAGATAGTCTGGAGACTATGCCACGACTATTCTTGTTGCGACAAGTTTGGAAGATGTTTGGGATATTTTCGTTTTTTCGCTCAACATCCGCCTGTAGGGGGACATGCCCGACCTAAACCTAACCCCATCGCCGAGTGCCGCTGTGCATTCAGTTCGCGGAGGTAAGGACCGCTCCGGGCTCAGGGCTCGAGTATCGCATCGGCCACAGAGTTGATTCGCCCCAGACTTGCTCTCTTCGTCGAATCCGTGAAGCATGCTGCGTTTTTTTCTGCCCTGGCAAATGCGACGAGGAAATCACTTCTGCAGTCGGTCCCCTGCTCGAGGGGTGGGCTCTGGCTCTTCGGGCCGCTCCTGAAGAGTTGGGCCGGGGCGCCTTCTCGTGGCCGTGCCGAGGTTCGCCGTGGCCAGGGAAGCGCTGCCTCTTCGGGCCGTTCCTCCGAGTTGGGCCCGGGAGCCCTCTCGTGGCCGAGGTTCGCCGCGGCCGGGGAGGTCCCTGCGTGCTTCCTTGTGCGATCCGTACGGCATGGCCGCACGGAGTCACCCAGGCATGCGTGTCCCATGTGTGCCCTGTGGGGGCGACGCGGAGGCTCAGACATCTGAACGTATCTGCTCGGCGGCGGGGGGGTAACGATCTACATTCATATCGTTGTCGAATCTGCATGTGTATATATATGTACCAACGTGTATGTATGTATGTATGTATGTATGTATGTATGTATGTATATATATATATATATATATGTATATAAACACATATATACGCACTGGTCGGGCGCATGCCTCTCAGGGGGACACGTTGTACTAGAGTAATTCGTGTATCCCCCGCGTCCCACACGCTGACTGCGGTAGGTCACCACCCACCAAACCACCCGAATCCGACCCCGAAGGCCCCAAGTTGCCTTCCATTCCCAGGGGGGGCGGGTGCGTCGAGGATCATTGAGACCAACAGGACAAATGGAACCCGTATCCCCCCCAACCCGAATTTTGGGTTTTCGGGTTAGGTTGGGGTGGTCTGGTCTGGTAGGCAGTCAGTACGCGTTTGGGTGAGTGGGCGGGTGGCGTGGGCGCACTTCCCGTGGGCAGACACAGATCAGCCCCCCTCGTGGACCACCGCCGCGCTCACTGGTGGCGGGCCCCCCTCTGGTAGGCAGTGGTATCGATGCAGGGCTGGAGATGACGTTAACGCACGGTCTCGGGCAGCATCGCTCGCATTGCAGAAGAAAAAAAAAGGCGACGAAGACGAACGATAATACACACAAGCAAACGACGCATAATAATATTAACAACAATAACCATCAGCCGGATCAGAACACTCATGAGCAAACTATGAACAGTCGTCGTAATACGACTCAGGAAAAAGATTGATCATTTGACGCAGAAAAATAGTAGTATTCTGATCGAAAAGAATATGACTACGAATCCTAATGCGAAGAATAAGGAACAACAGCTGCATGCACATAACCTTTGGACGGCCCGAGCGCATTTCCTTGATCGGCGTTGCCCCCCCCCCTCTGGCGGCGACTCCTGCAGAGGAAACGGAGGAGAGGGAGAGAAGTAGGAGGAAGAGGAAGAGGAAGATGGAAAAGCAAATGGGAGAGGAGGATGGCGAAGGCGACGAGGAGAAAGAGGAGGTGGACGTGGAGGAGGAGAACGTGGCGGAGGAGGAGGAGGACGAGGAGGAGGAGGAAGAAGGAGGAGGGAGGAGGAGGAGGAGGAACATGGAGGAGGGAGAAGGGAGGGGGAAGGGGGAGGAGGTGGAGGGTGAGGAGGAGGAAAAGCAGTAATTATCATAATACTTAAATGGTAATAAAGTGAGCCTCGTAATAATCAGGGGAAGCGAATCATAATAGTACCACGAATATAATAATAGTTCGAATCTTGGTTACAATAGAAAACAGGAATCGTATCTAAAATAATCGTACAAAGTACAAGGATACGCAGACACATAATAGTACATACATGCATCGTAGGAGGAGGAAGAGGAGGAAGAGTAGGAGGAGGAGGAGGAGAAGGAAGAGGAGGGGGGGACAGCAGGAGGCCGCCTCCGATTCCTTCATCTTCCCCACCTCGGACTATTGCGCCATCCGTGCCTTCCTGAGAAGGAGCAGGCAATGATATTTTTGGGGGCCTCCTAGGAGCTTCTTGGGGGGTTCAGGGTCTGCTGTGGGAGCGACGGACCCAGCTGCCTGCGGCAAGTCCCACCACCGTGCCAGCCCCGCCCGCACCTTCTGCGGCGAATGCTCGGGCGGCGCACGGTGGCCCCCATCCGAGGCTTGGGCAGAGGCGTCACGCGTGCACTGTTTTCCTGCGCGCGGACTGCCCTGCGGCGGAGAGAGGGGGCGGGAGGGGGGGGGGGGAGCGCGGGGGCCCGTGGCCCGCATCCGCGCCAGCGGCGCCGCCCGAGGAGGGATCCCTGGCACCCAGCCGGCGCAAGGCCAGCACCCTGGCCCCCGCCGCCGTTGTGCGCCGCCGCCGCAGCGAAGGCAGGCGACCCAGCTGGGCCCTTGGGCCGCTGCGCGAGGCCGACAACAACCGCAACCGCGGCCGCCGGCGCAGGCGGCGCAGCTGGCGGGGCGGCAGCAAAGGCGGCGCCGCGCGCGGCCGAAGGCTCCGCGACGCGGCCCAGCGGGGCCCGCCAGTTTCGCGCGCCGCGCGGCGCCGCTCATCGACGTCAAGCCAGGCTGCCAAGCTGCGCCGCTGGGCGCACGGTTGACCTACGGCGCTGCGAACTCGACCAGTGCCAAGACCTTCCTTCCGCGGCCACCGCGTCGAGCTGCCGCTTGCGCCCCTGGCGCAATGCGGGCGCGGGCGTCCGGGCCCCGGCGGCCCGCCCCAGCGCTGCCCGGAGTGGCTTCCCAGAGGTCTGCGTGCGCCCAGTCGACTGGGCAGCGTCGGCCCAGAGCGTTGCGACTCCGCGGTCGACGGGACGGAAGTCGGAGTCTGCGACCGCTTCCTCGCAAGCGCCCGCCATATGCAGCGCTTGCATGCGCGCCCAGACATCCGCGCCCTGGCGCTGTTAGCTCTCCATCGACAGGGCCACTGCGGCCCCCGATCGAGGCCCGGGGCGCCCCCGTCAGGGCGCGCGTCCCCAGCAGGCATTCGAGCGCCATTGCGGGCCATCGAATCGAGCCTCGCGAGTCGTAGTCGGGGCCGCAGAGCAACAATTCACATCGGCACGAGTTCGCGACGATAGTCCCGCGCCGAACTCAGCCCGCGCCGCCCCCCGCGCGCGCCCTCCAGCCAGCCCCGCGCTCCACGCCCACCTTCACAGCCGCGGCCCCTGCCTAACACGGGGCGCCGGCGCGGCGCAGCGTGGGCGCGCGACGCGCGAGCAGGTCGCACGCAGTATTATAATCGCATGCATCCACTCCGATGGATGCCCAAATATAGAATTCGCATGGACTGCCGCGCCCAATTGGGGGGGGCGCCGTCGCCGCCCTGAGAGCCGCGCCGCGTCGAACCAGGGGGCTTTGCTCAAACGCTGATCGAGGCGGGCGCTGGCTGGCCATGTGGCGCTCGAGCCAGGACAGCGGCTGATTCTGGACTGCCGCCCCCGGGACATCGCGCGCCGCGCAGTGCAGATTGCGAGCGCGCGCCGTGCCGGAGCGAAACGGGACACCCAGTCTATAAAGATCTCTCTGGGCGAGGACGCGCCGCCGAAGTTTCGTCCACGGCGCCGCCGCTCGGGCGAAATTCCGAGGGGGGTCGAGGGGGGGGGGGGGGGCGACGCGAGGCGCGGGGCGCGGGGCGGGGCCGCGCCAGGGCCCTTCAAGGCCAGGAAATAAGTATTGGCCCAATGAAGACTGGTCCAAAGATGCGGGGGCGATTCACTTAGGACCTCGATGTAGTGGGGAGGGGGGGCGAGCTGGCCTGCGCGGCGAGGGCTCAAGGATGGGGGGGCGCCATCGCCCCTGATCCCAGGATCATATGATTAATCCCTTCGGTCATCCTCCCCGCGGGCCCCCTCGGAGCGGGCGTCGTTCGAAAGACGCCGTGCCCCGCGGGCGCGGGGCGAGCGATTGCCCGCCATTCCACCCGCAAAACATGTGCATTGACGGCGCGGCATCCAGTGCTTGCCCGCATTGGCGGAGCCGCGCGGATGGCGTCGCCGAGCGCGTCGGGGGCGCGGTCGCATCAGAGAGCAAGAATTCACCTCCGAGGAGAGCACCCCTCCCCCCCCCCCCCCGATCACATTCCCGCCGCCCCTCCGCCCCCCCCCCGCCCCAGCCCTCCCACCCCCCAGCCCTGCGCGACGCTCAGGAAGTCGGCGCCCCGCCTGGGCGCCCATGCCGCGCCGGGGCAGGAGGCGCGGAGCCACTTCCACCAGACCGAGCCCCAAGCCGCGATTTCGCCGCGCGCGTGCGCATCTGCGCGGGGGGCCTGCGGCGGCGCGCCCATGGGCTGATTCCACGTCCGCGCCGCGCCCCAGGAGCTCGGCCCCGGGAGGTCTGCAATGGCCCCGCCCGCGGGGCCATGGGGTCTCCTGAGGTCTCCCAGTGGTCGCCAGAGCGTTCTCAGGGGCTCGCTGCAGGGCCGTCTGGGGCCTCTAAGGATGTCCCCCAGTGGTCGCCGGGGGCTTCTCAGTGGCCCGCGCGGCCTCCCAGGGCGGCCCGCCCAGGATCCATGGCCCCCAGCTTGAAACGGCTTCCCAGGGCCGGCGCAGGCGGTTTCAAGTCCGACGA